ATAGGATAGGTTTATTCTATCATATTAAAATACAAAGTAGCTGAGGCCAGTGATTGTTTACAAGTGTAGGCTTAATAATTTGTGTATAATATGCGATAGAACATGTAAAGACTAGACGCACAACAAAACATGCAAAACAATAATATTATTATAATTATATATCGTTTGAAAGTTTAAATCTCGAGAAATTTATACACACACACAAAACGAGTCATCAGGACGTATTTATAAACTGTTAATTATATGGAAATAGCGCGCATTCGCATATATTATAACAATATCACTTAAGGTATATATTATGTATATTATAATAGTAAAAGAAAATGTAATATTATATATGTTTATTTTATACTCGACTGCCCACTCGATGTGTGCAGCAGTTCGCCGTCTAAATCCGCCACCGGTCGATAAAATTTAAGTAGTTTAAGTAGGAGGATAGGTCACAACAATAATAATATAGTAATAAAAATAATACGAGAGGTGCAGAATCAACGTGGTTGTAATAATATCGGCGAGACGAAACAATGAAATTGCCACGTGGCACAGAGGTGCAGAGGTGTTTAATGAATCATTTGTTATAGGCGTGCGCGCAACGTTATGAAAACATTATAATATAAAAGTTAAGACCATAGAATTCTAGGTAATATTAAATAAACTATAATTTGACGTCCGGCGTGAGAATGGGAAAATAAAGTTTTGATTATTTTGAAGTCACCCACACACATTTTACAAAACTTATTATGTTAATATCAATAGTAGAGTTGGTCACAATTTTTTTTAAATAATAATTATTCGAATAAAAAACTATTTTTTAAATAAAAATGTACTTGAATAATGCCCTACCTGCTAATCCCATCGATAAAACTGAGTGACAGAGATATAATTTTAGTTTAGTACTACGTAGGTTCTATATCGCTCAGATCTCTTATCCTAGAGCATTGGATATTAAACATGATACAACATTATAAGTATTACTTAGTAGTTTTATTATATTCTTCGACAACGAATAATCGCCTGAAAGTCCGACACACGTGTTGCATTGTTGCGTCCATGTCATCGATCCGTCACTTTTTTAGGCGGTCTCCAGTTTCCACCCAAGTCCTTCTATAGTTTTGAAATAATTATTTTGTTAAAATAAGAGAAATAATTTAGATTCTGATCGAAGCTATGAATGTATTGATTCCATAATGATGTGTTTTTTATTTTTTTTTTGTGTCTTTGTACGCGATAATTAGTTGAAATAATGCTTCGATTGATTTCAGCTTCAATATATTGTTCGACAGGATTGAGGATAGTGAATCTAAATGATTGAAGAGGTCAACATTTAAAATTCCCAGTAGTTTTCAAAAGCACAGAGAAAAACCAAAATAAATATGGAAAAATGGGGATTTCTTACTCAGATTTTCGACAAAATCAATTTTGGTTTTTGTAACAGAATGTTTATATATTAATCAAAATATTTTGACTTCTTTTGTGCTGTTTAGTGTTTACGGACATTTTCACTTTCCAATTTGTTTAGTTTTTTTTCTATATATTTCTATAAAATTGTATTTGTTAAGTCAAAAATTTCGAAATGTTTTTACCAATGGTTAAACGTTAACATAATAAGGCTAATAATATACTGTTACAATAGCGTTTGAAAAATGTTGAAAATACATTGTCATGATTTTATTTTATAAGTATTTAAACTTCAAATTTTAACGATTGTATCAAACTGAAAGTGTACAACTTATTTTGTAGTTAATTTTTTTTTTATGTATGAAGTTACATATAAGTAGTTTATTCTGTCCGAAAAATCTAAAAAATATAAATGCAATTTTTTTTAATTACTTTAAATGTGCACGAAATTACATATTTTATCCAAGAATAACGGTTCTTTTCATTTTTTTATTATTTAAAAATATCATTCTTTGGATACTTGAAAATTTTAAAGTAGGTATATTATTATATTTTATACACATAATTACATTTACAAACGCAATTTTTTCTACGAAAATTAATTTAGCTTTTAGTAAAATAAGTTACTTTAATCATAATAATAAAATAAAATATACCTACTTAAAATTATTATATGCTGACAGACTGTCTTCTCTGAGAATCTTTTTTCGTATGTTATGATTTTATATCATTGAATTCAAATTCAACACATATCATTACAGTGACTTTCTAGACACCTAATGAACAGCACGAAGTTACTCAATACCCGCTCTTTTAATGAATTTATTCTATTTTATTTTAAAGTAAAAAAAACTGTATTTATAAAGTACTAACTGTAATATTTTAGATTCAGAGAGGAGTGATGAGTGTATTGATTTTGTGAAGTGTTTTTTTTCTGTCTGTAAACATTTTTTCAAGTAGAAATTCTGACGGGAAAGCGAATTTGAGAAGTAAAAACGAATATTTTTTACCTTAGATACGTTCAATTTTCACCGAATATTTGATGTTTTTATTAGTATTTTCTATACACCAAGGGATGTTCAAAATGCTTTGACTCTTTTTCACCTATTCATAGGTATTTATGTCGATTTTTATTAGAAATGTTTTTGAGCTGACTATGATTTTCTTTGTCTTATCCGATTTTTGTAACACTTGTTACCATGGTAACCCTCCCCTCAACCCAAGAAACCCCCATTTATGATTTATAGATTTTCACTGGTTATAATATATTATTTCAGAAACCATAATAATATAGTTATAAAAAAGATGTTTAGTACAAATCATTTTAAAATGTATTTAAAACCAATAATATTTGAACACATAAATATTAAATTTATAAGTACCAATATTGACAAGAAAAAATACAAAGTTTGTGTCAGAAATTCCGCTTGACCGAGAACTCCTGAATAATAAACTCATGAAGGAGTATTGGGATTTGGGATTGCCGACACGAACTTAGAATTTTTTTTCTATATTGGCACTTTCATAAATTTAATAATCCCGCTGCAGTTTCGACCATGGTGATGATGATTCCCGACCAGAAAAAATATTTTACAGCGACAATCTGGCAGAATTGATGTAACTGTTGGTCGTACCATGGTCCAAACTCGACTTTCGACTTATAAATCGGTTTTGGTGACGTTTTAACTTTTCTAGAAGCTGGAAACTTGGCTTTATTTTTAGCGAAACGTCGATACATTTCATGATTGATATTCGTGTTATTGTTTTTGGTCACACAGCTGTACAATTATAGAAAAAATTAGAAAAATAAAACATATGGGGTCGGTAGGCAAAAGGAGTCACTATATAAATACCTACTTAGAATACTCATATATTTTTATAGTGAAATTTAAGAGTATAACTTAGTTTATTCTTCTGTAGGCTGTAATATTTTTTGATATAAAATATTTGTCATTTGGATCAATTACAACTTACAATAAGTTAAATTTAACACTGAAACATTGATCAATATTTAAAACTAATTATATTCTCGGGAATCGGGGAAATCGCCGTAACTACATTCCCGGGAATTTGCACATCACTTGACTGTCCGGCTAACAAATTCTGATTGCATTATCGTTCATAACTCGTTGTAGTACATAGGTTTCAAAAAAGAAACAATTTAAGACATTTCTAAGACATTTCTTTAAATTTTAGTATATGGGATTATCATTATTAGTTATGTCAATGGAAGCCAGATGTCAGAAGTCACAACCTCGATTTGTCATATAGACTAACTCCGCAATCCGTATTTTAGTATTAATTGTCTGCTGTAGAACTGATTAAAAGTCATGATCTTGCTTTAATATTGGCTGGATACAATGATGGAAATATTCAAGTTTGGTCACAAGACCACCTAAATTGATTTCTGGTTGGCATTTTTTTTTTTTTTTGAAAAATATGAGATGGGTACACGGAATTCTATAACAATTTAGTTGGCCATACACAAATCTAAACAATTAGAGTACCCAAATAAGTTTATTAGTATTTTTAATTTAGAAGAAGGACATTTACCAGAGACCGTTGTACCTTAGTTCATGAAAGTAACTACCTATATTTTCAATTTTATAATACCAACCATAGTAAAACATAACCCTCTTCATTTCTACATTATTACTAAACATCACTATAATATTTTATACTACCTCATGGGACGAACGGGGGCGGCTGGATGTGAAATCCCACTAACAATTTTGCTTCTGATAGAACTATAAAAAAAACATCATTTAAATAAATTATTAAGCTAAACGCGTTATATTTGATATTTACTTGAATCCTGATCGACCACTGGCCACCATAGTGGTATTAAAGACTTTTAAAATTTTTGGACACATATCTTATATACTTCTGTACAGCAAATTAATATTTTTAAACATTTTAATCAAAATTAAATTTTTTTTTCAAAAAACGATAATGTTTTTTAAAAGATTTTCATTACGCTGTCAGGGCATTTTTAAATATGTAAAAAACATTATTTGGCCAGCAAAGTAATATTTTTAGACGTTTTTCAGATAATATTTAAAAAATTAAAAGCATTTTACATTATGAGATATTTTTTCAAAATATTTTAGATTTATTACTAGAATAAATTTTATAATAAATATTGCTTATAGTAGTTATAGGTACTATATATATATTAATAATATATACTATTATAATTAGTTACTCAAGGTGGAAAATGGTACCTTTTCACTTTTTGTATACAGTATACCGTATACTATATCTGGTTGACACACTTCGTAGAAGTCCCATATTTTAACTTTTTTTTCAATCTCTGTATGTTAAAATTTTTGTTTTTAAATAAAAAAGCCTGAAAACCAGAAACTGTAATTCAGAGTTGAGTTTCTAAAAGTTATTACCGCAATTAAAAAATATCAAAAAGGCGTGCCCCTGACTAGGGGCAACACAAACTACATTGTGTTTAATGGTTATCATGGTGCTCATAATTCTTCGTAACCATGAACCACGTTTATGCACAATATACATATTGTGGGAATTTAATGTGGGGGGAGTATTTTCCGCAGTGTTATCACTGCCAACCAGATCGGACTGGTCGACCGCGGTCTATATTGATAACATTTGTATTATTTTTGAATAGTTCCAGTGTAGTTCTTCTGTGATTGTTCACGGACAGTTTAATATTATTCGTTGATTGGATGGTATATGTATTACCTTTCCTCAGTTACCCTGGTATCGTATAGTTGCAAGTTTTCGGTTTTGTTTTTAAATAATTTCCAGTTTATAAGTACTTTTGTCGTAATAGATGTAATAATATTACCGTGCTTCAAATTTACATAATACACGAAACCTCGAACAACAACTATTGGATGAAGACAGGCAGACAGCAAACAGTATACTATTACTATTTATAATAGCTCATAGGTAATTACTATGACGGGTGAAGCGTCATCCAGCATACCGGCACGATTAGTCATCTCTCAGACCGACGATTTTCATAAAATATTGCCATATTTTTTGTTTCATTGTTATCCTGAATGAGTGAACATCACGCGGCACGCGGTGATTTTAGTACTATACACTACTTGAGGTTTATTTTCTAGTCGAATCCAATGGTGATATTTTGGGGTTGTTGATTTGGAGTAGGTAGTAAAGTTGAAGTTGGACGACCATCATCGTTTCTGTATCACGAAGATCTCCGCAAGTAGCAATGTCGTAAGTATTACCCACCAATGTTATTGTTATCTATTTATAAATTTACTAAACAAATGGGCATATAAGGGCTGTGGATTTGTAGCAAATTAATTTTTATTTTTTGCTTCTTATGTGGGCTGATGAAATGTGCAAATTAAAAAAAAACTTGTTTTAATTATAAGCAACGAGTGATGCATAATTTTCAAAATCAAATGAAATTTTAAAATTATCATTTTAGAGGGGGCTGGTGAAATGTACATTGAAAACTATTTCTAATCACTGCAAAACTAGGTACACGCCAATACGCCGTACACTATTATACTTATACCTAGTTAAAATAAATAATTTAGATAATACCTTTAAATTATCAACATTTGTTCATACAAATTATAATTTATAATAATTATTAATTTATATGTGCCCCATATTTTACCAATCTGAGACGTCCAGAGGCAAATAACCGTTTAGTCTATCTCCTCTTCAACAGAGCCCTGATAACGATCGAAAAAACGTCTTTCTACGATGGTGTACCGCTGTAGAACGTACCGCATGGTAACCACCATAATGATTAGATACCTAGGTAGTGTCTGTTAAAAGATATAATTAAGAATTTAAAATATATTTATATAAATAGCCTATATTCTATTAGACGTTTAGTTCAATAGTTATTCTGTGAATAATGTTACATATTTCATTTTTGTTTAAAAACATTGATTTTTGTTATAAACATTAAAGTACTTACCACTATTACTATTAGTTAATTGTATACAATACAATATTGCTTGGATGTCAATTAATATGAATAGTATCAATCTTCTAGCACTGAGCAGTGGTTTTCAACCTTTTTTAAGCTCTGCACGTTGTGCTCTTTACAATATTTTCAAGACACATGTTTAGCAATTAGCAATAAACGTTTTCTTTATCAAAGACCCTTTTTTTTAGGTCATTGTACAATTGTTTACGACTTTAGATAAACAAAATTGTAATTTTTTATAAATGCTTAAATATTGTATTATTATATATTTTCATTAAGTATTTCACTAACTATTATAAAAAAAACTTTGAAAAGCTCGATACGCCTATAGGGAATACTTATTATAGAGTATTTTAATGTACCGTATACAGTGTATACCTACTTACCATATTTTTAATTGCTATCGAGGTAGTATATTAAACCAAGTATGCTTTTTGTTAAATGCGCAGTGATAGGGTGAAGATGTTGAAGCACGTTACGGTGGCAGCTGTTTCCAGTGAAGCCGTATCCAAGCTGGTGGGACTGGTCAGCCTTAGCTTGGCGTCGATAGTTATCGACGAGACGATACAACTGATTAAGCGGTATTTTTGGCGCAACTACGTCACAGAGCTTGAAGTTCCCAACACAGACAAGTCTTACAATTGGCTGCTGCAATGGATTTCCAAGCACAACCAACAACTACTGCACTTCAGCGTGACCACGGTTTGTCGAAACACCGAGTCCGCCCACTCGACTTCGAAGTTCGACTACGAGCCGAGCGCTGGCGAACACATGTTCAAGTAAATCCGGTTGCAAGACCGAAATGACATAACGCCTCGTACCAATCAGTATTATTATCTATAGTTGTATTACTTCACAGTGGTATGTAAGGCAGATGTGCCGGTGTCGTGTTAAGTTAGTGGCATAATATTTGTATTTTGATTAACTCTTAAATGAGACACTGAACATTAAGTTCTGAAAATAGTATACCAACATATTGTAATACCCCGATAAAAATATCCTAGGATAATTCACACGGTGGGATGCAAATAATAATGTGATATTTTCAGTTACACTAGAAATGTTTCATTGTTTTAAGAGTAGACTAGTAGAGGGATCTTATAATCATAAGTGATTTTAATCAAATTCGGTTATGAATTCTTATAGTTATTTTATCAATTTATAATATGTTATATGATTGTGAGATTAGCGCTCTGATTTGGTAATTATTCTGAGACTTCCGAGGTGGTTTCGCATAGCGAATAAAGATTGAAAAAATAATTTCGATTTAAACTTGTTCAAGCATCATGCCGGGTCTCTGCAACTTTTTTTTCAGGCCCTAATCCCTATTGTAACCAGGGTAGGTATGCTAAGCTTGTTAGAGTAATCATGACCGAAAACCTCACCTCAGTTGTTGTTGATTCTTCCGCTTGCGTGCAATTTCAATTTATCCTGCTCCTGTATAACCATACGCTTTTCATTGAACTAATACTAATCATCTTTAACGAAAACTATATTATAACTTTGCAGGTACAAAGGTCATACGATAAGCGTAAGACGTGATCGCAGCACAGTACTGTCCAGCGAGTACGGTTCTAGACCGTTCGAGACGCTTAACTTATCTACTTGGGGTCGAAACAGACAAGTGCTGAATGAAATTCTGGACGAGGGTGAGTAACTGCAACACCTGTGGTAGTCGTCAATAATATTATATCTACCTTAAAATTTAAATACTCGTCTTGTACTAGGGTACTATGTAAGGTGTAGATATTTTGTAAAAATGTTGACATTCTTCCAGCTAGATTGTACGCTATGTCCATCATGGAGTCAGGCACCACTCTGTTGGTGCCATCGTACGACACGTGGCACAACTTCGGCGAGCCCCGCGTACCCAGGTCATTGTCTTCTGTTATACTGGACGAGGGCGTGATTGAAAATATACTTAAGGACATACACAATTTTGTGGACGACAAATCTTGGTACTTAGATAGGGGTATGTAAATCTCTAATTTCACTAGTTCAACTACTAAAATATACTCATATAATATGGCTGCAGTGGTACACTGGTGCTTAATCGTCTAATTAATAGTCAATAGTTAATACCGGAATTTTACTTAGAAAAGTAATCATTATGTGGTCAATGTGCATATATGATATAATTTAGGTATATGTAAAGTTCTCGAAACACTGCAGCAATGTTATGAAACAGAATTGAAACTATAAGTAATAAAAGTAATAAGTAGTAGAAAATAAAATGTTGTTTCGACGTTCAAGGAATACCGTACCGTAGGGGTTACCTGCTCTACGGACCGCCGGGCTGTGGCAAGACATCTTTGATCATGGCACTGGCTGGCGATATCAAGTACAACTTGTGCGTGTTAAGCCTGAATGATTCAAAAATGTCCGACGATCAACTCGTTCAATTGATGGGAGAAGTGCCGTCCAAGTCGTTTGTGCTCCTGGAAGACATTGACGCGATGTTCGCCAATAGAGACGGGAAAACAGTCATAGGTATATTATGCGCATCCTTGTAAACCAGTATTTTTAGTGTCTGTATGTAATATTTTACTCAGCATTATTAATTTGTGATAGAGGGTAGTACTAAAGTGACGTTGAGCGGTTTGCTTAACGCTCTGGATGGCGTCGTATCGTCTGAAGGCCGAATACTATTTATGACTACCAACTACGTTGATAGGTAAATAATAATAATAATACTGTCTGTAATAATACATTGATCAATATAAATAATGGTCAAATGGTACTTTAGGTTGGATACTGCATTGATTCGATCTGGCAGAGTGGATTTCAAACAATACATTGGAACTTGTTCAGATCATCAACTATCTCAAATGTTCACTAGGTTTCGTCCAGAGGGTACGGAAGGTGACAAGGAACGATTTGTGAAAGATATAAGAAAATATAACAAACCAGTTGTCCCAGCTCATCTACAAGAATTTTTTTTGGTACACCGTCATAAAGAACTAAATTATGTGTTTGAACATATAAACGATTTATGGCAGAATGTGCAAGACATTCAATTAACAGAGTAACAACAATAATATTCATAGTATTAATTTAAAAATAATAATAATAATAATAATAATAATAAGTTAATTTTTTATGTACAGAAAAATACTAAGTACATAAAAAACCAATGTTCAGTCGAATAGCAATTTTTGAGCACAATAAAAGAGTGTCATGAATATTTAAAGTGTTAGAAAAAGAATAACAAAAATTAATTAACATGGAAAAAAAACAAAAAAGTTTATACGTTCATCATCTTTTGGGATCAATTGAGTATAATGCAATAGTTCCATCCATTGCCCCAGTAGAAAGTAGCACTTTTTGTGGGTGAAACTTGGTGGTCATTAATGGTGAATAACGTGTACTCATGAACCAGTCAGTCAATTTCAACGAGTTCAACAACTGACCCTCTGTGTTGTAGAATAACAACATCTGATTTATACTACTGCTAAACATAAAATTTAATTATTTAAAAGATATATTGTTGTTTTTTTAAACACATGTACTTCTTACCATGCTATAATATTGCACATTGAGTGAATGGCTGCAGATTGCATATTGTTGACATGGAATTCATGCTGTGGTGCATTATGGCCAAACTCAAATGTTTTTATATCTCCATAAGCACTATTACATCAATAAACGAATCATTTAATATATATTTTTGACTAAGTTAAAAAAATTTACTTACCTAGCAGATACTACTGTAGCATCTTGTAGTCTTAAGGTAAGTATTTTACTATGATGTCCTATGAAAGAAGCTATTTTTGCTTCGTCCGGTGGAAGTCTTTTATCGAACACTTTAATTGAACCGTCTTTACAACCAGCAGCAAATATATTATTTTCTGTAAAAACACCATTTGTATACAGAAAAACACAATAATTATAACCTATATTAGTGGCAATAAAATAGTGTTATTTTAAATAGTTATCTAAAATATTTCAATATTTATTTTACACTATTGAATAACTATTACTATACTAATTATCAATGAAAAATAATTTGATTTGTTGGACAAAAAAAGGGTAATAACTAGGGCCCGGATTTCAATGCAAAGTGCATATTTTTTTGGTTGATCATATACAATGCTTTCTAAGTACATAATTCGTTCCATGTAACGAGGGTTTGAAAGCTACAAATTTTATTTTGCATTTTTTTGCATATTTCGACGTTTTTTCATTTTTAGAGCATTTTTAGCATTATTGGGTCATTTTGTTGGTTTTTAATGTTCAAAATAGATATAAAACTTGGAATATTCAAAAAAATATCTAAAGATAAATTATTTTCTTGATTTTTAAGAAGGTTTATCGGGTTTTTCCATACAAATTGTCATTTTTTTTTCGATTTAGTTTTTATCTTATCTTAATCTATTATTGATTGTAGATGTTTAGAATGAAAAATATTTCCTCTAAAACGGCCAAAACATGCATGTCGACATCATATCAGTCAATATTTAAAATTTTCAGTTTTTTTTTTATAAAATAATTATTATGTCTCATTTATAAATTACAATTTGTATATACAAAAAATATATGGCATTTTTAAGGTCATTTTTGTGGTAAAATGCATTTTTTAAGGGCATTTTTGGCTATTTTTTAGAGCATATCTGTATACTTTTAAGTGCATTTAAATCCGGGCCCTAGTAATAACTAATAGGTTATGCATGAGTTTTATCCTTGGATATAGATCTATACTCATGGTTTTATCTAAACACACTTCTAAATAATAAACATGGTCATACACATTTCTCTTGTAATTAGATGACTGCCAGGGAAACAAATTAAAAAATGTATGAATTAGTTTTTTCTTTTTACTTTTTCAGTCAACCAAAGCAAAACAAAGATCCTGAATGTAAATTTTTAATTCTTAAGTCTGCTAAAAAATGGATAAGTATACTTTTGACTTATTAGTTATGACCTAATATCACTATTCCTAATCATAATATATAATGGATTTATTTAGATTAAATATAGTGATTGTAAATTTATAAAATATACATTGCATGTGTTTAGATGTTGATTGATCGTTATTTGGTAAGTGACAGTTACACTCTTAATTACCTTTAGATTGCATAGACATAGTCGTCACAGAAGCATTAACTCCCGTGGATAAAGCGGTCAGTTTTGTTTCAGTCTCAATATCCCAAATTTTGATAACTCTAGAGTCGCCTGCACAAATTAAATGACACGACCTTTGATCCCATTGCATAGCCACTAAAAATTGTTATGTTAATTAACATAGTGTATAGTACTTAATAGTACATCAATATTTGTAAGGATTAAAAAAATTGCTAACTCGAAGAACTCTCGAAACTCGGACTCTTGCAAATAGGTAATGCATGCCAACCAGAAATTAATTTAGGTGGACCGTCACGTATTTGTGACCAAACTTGAATATTTCCGTCATTGTATCCAGCCAACACTAAAGCAACATCATGGCTGTTAATCAGTTCTACAGCAGATAAATGAGGAGTTAATCTATATGACAAATCAAGATTGTGGCTTCTGACATCTGGCTTCCATTGGCACAACTTATAGCTACTTTGATAATCCCATACACTATAATTTAAACAATATGTTTAGAATCAGTTACATCAAAAAAGAGTATTTACTATTTATTACTACATTTTTTTTCAATACAAATAGACAATATTAATGATTTAATACTTACGTTAAATAATCTTTTGTAGCTACAATGACATGTGGTTCATAAGGATGAAACACCAGTGAATTTGGCGATTGTTTACATTTTGATGAGAATATTTGATGTTCTATCTTATAATTTAAATTATTTACCTTGTTTTGTTCTTCTTGTGCTTCTTTCCGAAGCATCATATTTCGGGTATACCTATAAAATAAATTGTAACCATTAAAATGTTCAATTCAATTTTTTATTAATTATATCAATAGATATAAGAACAATATTTAATCTAATATCAGTGTCACCTCCAGTCACGTTCATAGTATATTGCACTTTCAAAGTCACCTCCATCATTCATACCACTCAATGGATGAGCAAAATTTTTTGATACCCATTCGAAAAATTGAGATCTCAATAAGCTTTTAGTCATATTTGTTGTGTCCTTTTCACCATCACTTTCTATGTTTGGTGGTGAAGATGATGATGAAAGCACAGCAGTTTCTTCTACAATCTAATCGCACGATGGATGTATTAATAATAATTCTTCTAAAACTATTTGTGTACTTAATAATATTACATACAGTGTTGGGCACAATTTTTTTCGTCCTAGAATTGGATCTTGATGAGGAAACAGGTGCTCTTTGTCGAGTACGAATTTCATGTACAGATAATGGAGGAGAATCTCCTTGACTAAAATAAAGACCATTAAAAAAAACTATATGCAAATAAATAATTAATAAAACAAATTTTGAAATTCATCAATTCAATACCTGAGATAACTTCTAGAAGATGGAGATGCAGGTAATGAATGTGATGCACGACTATCTGGCTTGTTTTTAAGCTAATCAAAATAAGTATTAATTGTTAACACTAATTATTATGAAAATATTGCATACACACATTGAGAACTTACTTTCTGTCTAATGTATTTAGTGAGCTTTTGAGCAGTAGCTGAAACATCTGGAAATATATCATGCTCCAAAGCTGTCAAACCCTTCCATAATTTAGAGTGATTATTGTTATAGGCTGATGTTGTTTGATAAGCGTCTATGTGACAAAAATACTTTTAAAGTTGTGTCCTATAAATATAAAGTTTAAAATATACATACCCAAGGTAACTATTGACGAAGAAGAATTTGTCCGCCTCAAAAAATCAGATTTTGTTTCCTCTTGCATTTCATCTGAAATGCTAGGTCCAGGAGATATTTGAGGCGACACTACAGTGACAATTGGACAAGTAGGCTGCATCAAGATCTTTTCTTTGGATACAATTCTTGACAGACTAGCTGTTTTTGAGCTTCCATTGGGACCTGTAACAGGATTTATAATAATAAAAATAACCAATTTTTATTTAATAAATTTCCAATTTTATACTGAACATACTTTTATAAAGAGATCCATATGATTTTTCAGTTTGTTCCTGCATTGCTATTTCTAAAAAGTATCTTTCAAATGTGATAACAGTCCACTGAAGAGCAATTATAACTTCCTAAATGTACAATATAATGTTAGAATTACATTGATAAATAACTAATTAACAAAATGCAATTGCTTTTAACTATTACCTCCCTGACCATAGGACTCATATCTTTAGCAACCGTATTCAATAAAGTCAAAGCAATATTTAAATCAACTTTTATAGCATAGTTAGTACGATCCTTATCACAGCTCACATAAGTACCAAGAGCAAACACTGCAGCAGCCCGAACCTAAAAATTACAATTTAATTATTACTTTGAGATCTGTTGATATTAAATATTGAAAGAATCATAAACATGCATGTGCTGTCTCTGCAAATTATTAAATATTAATATACTTAAAACTGGCTTAAAAATAAAAATTCTTAAAAAACCAACAACAGAACACAGTTAATGTTCTTATCTTCATGTTTAAAAATAGGTTAATTCACTCTAATATTTAAGTCTACACAAAATTGGAACTGATGAATGATGAACGTTAATGTTGGTATATTATGTATTAGCAAGATAGATAAAATGCCTGCATGCATTGTTAGTCCTCTTAATATAAATATTAAATTGGACACAAAATATTGAATAATATTATGAACTTACTTCTGGTATTTTATCTTCTAGTAAAATGTAAAGTTTTTCATGAGCTATATCCCGCACACCAACCCAACGAGCTTTATCATAATCAGACCACAGCTGTGCAAGACACAAGGTCAACCATTGTTTATATGGTGCGCTAGCATTGGCTAATTGTTCAAGACATATGCAGACTAAATTGTTCTTAAGCCCAAGTTGTTGGCCATTCTTGTAATTTTGCATTAGTCGGGAGAGCACAACAGTCCCTAACATCCTTTGTTCTTCCTAAGAATCATAAATATAAATAACAATTTTTAGTAAACATACCCAGGTATAAATATAGGTAAAAAGAAAATGAAATACTCTTCAAAAATATTCGGTTAACGACAAACTGCTAAGGTAATTTGTTAACTAAATAAATTTGGGTTTTTACTATACAGTGTTGTTTAGTGTTAAATATGTTTTTTATTAGTAACATATTACCAATATTTTGTTAACTACCTACTTATTGAATACACAGAACATAACACAACACAGTGTAGTTACCCGGCTTAAAAATTATACTTTATATTCATTCATGACATTTTAAGGTACTTATTTGTTATATCATCCTGCTACCTATACACTGTTCTCGGTATTTGTTATGTATTGTAATATAATTTCAAATAAAAATAGTATATTGTTTAAAACTAAATATTAATATTAGCATAGTTCATTGATAAAAAAATACATTTTTAAAGATCCTAAAATGTCCCACATTTTATTTATTTTAATGATAGGATGTTTTAGTTGTAAACATTGAATACTATGATTGCAAGGAATAAGACAGTGATCAAAATTAATTTTAAATAAGTGATCAATGTGTGCAAGGTTGGATCGTACTTGAAATTACGCATACATCACAATAAACTTTATAATTTAATAAAATATAATATCAAATATTATAAAATGTATCCTTTTTCCATGAATATATGATATATCACATACTGGACTTACCAACAAGTAAGGTATAAAGGTACAGATAAATATTGATCATGGATATCAAATTTTTAGATCAAAGGCTTCGAAGTAAGATCACCTGGTGGAGTGATACATATTATACAGATCAGTGGCAAGGTGATAAGAAACAAGTGCCGATTTTAATATACATAAAATTGTTTTATGACAGTCATAGGAAAAGAAATACATTTGTTAACAATTAAATAAACAATTTCACATTTCTAATTGTAAGTAAAAATTACTATGAACATTTATAATGTCAACATGACAATAATAGGAAAAATGTCATATAAGAAAAGTTAGATTTAACACATAGTATTAAGTGAATACAAAAAATACAATTCAATTATAGTTATCAAGTTTTGAAAGGAACAAACAGCATAGTAAAAGTATTAATGGGATTTTTATACTCACAGGCAAACGTATATCTTCAACTAGTTGAAAAAAATACTTAAAACCATTTTCTCTGACAATGTCAGTTTGACAAGTCTGAAAATAGATATAATTTTGAACTTAATATTTTTTTTTATGTACTTGTTTATGATAATTCATTTTGAACACTTACGTGATCAACAGCCATTATTTTAGCCCAAATAAAAGCTAACATTGGTCGAAGTTCAACAGCAAAACTCTGCAGTAGTTTTAATATATAAGGAAATATTCCTACAGATAAAGTTAAATTTACAGCCCAAGGCCCCAAATCTAAAAATCTACCCAACAAGTCTAATGCTCGAAGTCGATGTGCTTGACTTAATAGAACCTGCACAATACCACATAGTAAAATATTAGCAATTGTATAGATCATCAGATAATGAATGTATTGTTGGTTGGATTGATTTATTATGGATTATTATTGTTTCATTACTTGGAGTACAATGGGAAGCTGTTCAGGTGCACTACGTTGTTGCGTTGGTAAACAAGCCGTATGGTCAAGCCAAATTTCAAATGCAGTCAGTTGTTCCTCAAAAAATGTTGTGCGTACAAAAAAACCATCACCGTGCTCTTGAACACGTTGTAATTGGGACAAGCACAAGTCTAAAATATGATCCCATGACTAAACAAAATATTTATAAATAAATAATTTGTAAAAATGAATAAAAACAAAAATACGTCAAGTACCAAATTAATCATAAATAAATCTGTTTATTTTTATCTTCTACAAACCTGCCACATGGGATGATTGTGCATTGCGGGTAATTTAGGTGAAGATACTGGTTCACAGTCATATGTTCTCATAATACGTTCAGCTAGTAAAAAGTTTCTTAGAAGACTAGCAACTAACAAATCTTGCCGAAATAACGTTTGAAAAGTATCTTCAATAACAAAATAAAAACATTTTTAGTCTTTATATTGTGTATATTATAAATTGAGTTAATAAATTTATTCTAATCATACCTCTAGGTAATATGTTCCAAGCTATTGTATCGGTAATAGCAGTAAATACCCAGTTTAATTCTCCTAACATTGTTCGTCGATCATTTAATGTACCAGGAATTCTAATGAAAATAAAATATTAGGTTAAATTTATGATGAATTTCAATCCAAAACTCACTTGTCAACAAGATCTAGAAATAATTTTGAGCAATGTTTTGACATATTTTGCATTACAAACCTGGAAAATAATAACTATTTAATCTTACAAAATACATTTAATTTTATATACATATTCATTTGTTACTAGGGTCAGTTTCCTGTAAATAATATGTAATATTACTACAAATTATAACGATCAACAAATTTTTTATACTATATATAAAAATCTGTTTAAATGAATACATTTATTAAAGAGTATAAATAAGTGAGCATCTAACTATCTAAGAATTTTATAACATTCTGGACCCAACATAAGATTATCAAAGATAGATTACATAAAAGAACAAAGTGTTATCAAAAACAAAAACAAATAGTAATTTTATTTGTTGATTGAAATAGTATCTTGTCTCTATAATTAATCATTAAATGTTATCATTTCAAATATATTTTCATATGAAACAGGAAACATAACTAGTAAATATGTGTTCTGTACAGTTTCTTATCAACGATATGCAATATATGCAAGATATGCGAGACACTCAGAAAAAATGTTAAAAATTTGACCTCTGTAAAATTAAAGACATTAAAATAATTAATACTTCAATTGAACTTAGATAAAAAATATAATTATATGAGTATGTCCATTATCCATATCATAATCCACAACATAAACTTTTTTTTTTGCAGTACTCACAGTATTATTATTATTTGTATTCTTTGATGTTTACATATTCACTATTTCTATGTACTACTTATGTTTTTTTTTCATAGAATTTAAATGATATCAACCCAAATTTAGGGAATAAACAAATGAATCAGGTTTTGGTAAATATAGAACACATTAAAAGTATTTACTAATAACATATTATTATGGTAGATATACATAGAAATAAGCTTACTGAGAATATATTTCAAATTGTTATAATACAATATTACAATGCATTTCAATAGATTGATCTATTATTATAGAAATAAATTGAATTTCTAACACGTTTGTTTATCTGATAATTTTATTATTAGATATTTGAACTTTGAACTCAGATGATGTATAAAATTGTTTCTTTAATTTTGAATAGTAACACAATAATTTCCTAATGAATATTAAGCCACCATAAGTCAAAATATTTAAACCACCATTTTAAACTACAGGTCACGCATTGATATAATAATAATTTGAATGTAAAATGATAAAAATTTTGAAACTGCCTTCATTAAATATATTTACATAATTAAATTAACCACAATTGATTATTAATTATAAAAATAAACTGATTTTCATAAACTAAATGGCTTATGAATAATGATGTTCTATTTTAAAATCAACAAAGAATACCTATAACATTAGTCAATATTTTATAGATATAACTTACCACCGAGCAGCCATTTTAATTGGTGTGGTCAAGCAGGAAGTAAACAAATCTGCAGGCAAGTCTGGATGCATTGGAAGTGTTTGGTCTACTTGACATGCACCCAGTTGAATGCAGTTTTTGTAAGACCCTTCAGCACTTTCAAACAATGGGCTTTGGGTAGCATTATGCTGAAAATTAAAGTAACAAATATTAAATAGACACAGATGTGTATTGAGTATTCATTACCATATTATAAAGTGAATGAAAAAACATGTTCATGAAATATGGTTATATGATGTATAGCTTAAAGTTGAAAAAAGATATTTTATTATTTAGCAAAGTTGAAAATAAAATAATATTATCATAAATATGACAATAGTTCTAAAGTATGTCGTCGTACATTACAATGCATAAATATTTAAATTCTATTATGGAACATTTTAAATGTGCCAAGTAGATAAATTACCTTAAGGTGAATAAATAGTAAACATTAGATACTTTTCGTATCATTATATGGAATTTTATCAATTTATTGTTGATGTATATAGATTAATTAAATGAAACATTTGTACCTATAATTAGAGTTATAGTTATTAAGGAATTAATGGAATCAGCATAAATAGGATTTTATCTCGGTAATAAATATTATATAATTATATAACATTACATACATTCTAAGCGGTTGTCATATTAAATTTGTAATTTTATAGTAGTCTAAATGTATTATAACAATTATAAATAATAATACATAACTATTTAAAAAAAGGAAATTTATTAGTTAAGTATCTACCTAGTCAATTTTCTTTGTCACACTATCAATAAATCAATAGATACGTCATTCAAATTTAATTGCCAATTTATTTTTTTTCTATACAAATCGATGTTAGATAAGTATTTAATATTTATCATATTATCGTAATTTCAAAGTTTAATTCAAAACTAATGACCAGTTTAAAAAAAAATTATAATAACAAAATAAAATAATATATACCATATCTTCTTTTTCGTGCTGTTCAGCAAATTGGCTAAATAATTTTATAATCATTCCTGCATTTGAACAATCATATACATAAATTGATGGTGATCCCATCCAAGCTTGAAGATCATATATGGACAATGGAATGTATTGGGTATATGTCTAAAAAATTGTTATCAATTATAAACATAAAAAAAAATATTTATAAATAATAATAATTGAAAATTAAAATTAACTAACCCTGTTAAACACCCAAATTTCCCCATTTACTGTAGGTTTTGGGACACCATGCCCATTATAGTGGAAAAGTACTCTTTCTTCTTTTGCATTTCGTCTCAAGGAAACGCACAATTTTTTTACTTCCTCTATAGTCGGGTCTAATGATTGTTTGTACCGCGCTCTTGGCTGCCACCTTTCGTACTGTTTTTGCAAATTGATTCCAATTACTTCCAGTGCTTTCTGAGGGACCATCATCAACGGATCTAATTTAGAATAAACACATTCATAAGACCAAAACATTATATTAATTTATGGAATTTCATAATTATTGTTATTATTATAGTTGTAATGAAATCTATACCTATCCAACACTCTAGACGGGCACACGGTTGAACTTTTAAAACGTCCGGTGGATCTACACCTACGTTTAGGCACATGACAAGTGCAACACTCACTGTCTTCATCTGAATCCACAAAAAAAAAAACACATAATTAATGAAAATTCAAGAATATGTTCTTCTAAAGAACGGATTACACTCTTACCCGTTCTTTGAGCCTCCATGAGTTTACTACGGCGTCCACGGACTTGATCTCCTCCGTGTGACGCTTCTTCGTAAAGCATAGCGGTAACCGCCAGTCGGCGGACTCGGCGGCGTCGGCGCTGCCGGACGATAATTTGGACGACGTTTCTTCCATTCATGCAGACGTCCACAAATGACATTCAGCGGCGGCAAACACGCGTGCTCACGTCCTCGGCGGTACAGGGTTGTATGGCTGGTAATTGACGTTCTGTTGTCTGTGTCCTGTTTAGAGTTTTGACCGTATCGTGGGCGTTGGTCGAAGAGAAAAATTCGAGTAATATCGAAACCACGCAACGAACAACAACAGACTCGCGGGTAGTTGTAATACGTCTTGTACTACGCCCGACCTCGTGTTTGTTATCAGACACGATTGTCGTCGCGTTATCTGCTGAACATCCCCTCTCTGCCGCAGATAAACCATCGTTTGGTTAGGTTCGGTCGTTATTATCTATGGGTGAAAAGCACGGTTGTGGATCGTGGTGAAAATTAGTGATACTGGTGATATTGTGGTGATACCGTCGCGGCTGTTGTAATTGTTGTTGTTGTTGTTGTTGATGTTTTCTTTTTCTTTTTATCGCATTTAATTACCATTTTTGCGGTTTTAGTGGTAACAACGGTCATCTAGTGAATCACAACCGACCGACGGGGCACCGTCCTCCACCGCCACATGTGATCGTGTGATTATTATTATTATTATTATTATATTTTTTTTTGCATATATATTTTTTTCTAATTTTTAAAATATCAATTTCGTTTTTTTAATTATCATTTTTTTTTAAGCCTCCTCGGACTATTCACTTCGAAATCGTCGCAAACTCGCAAATTTGCCGTCAAACGATAACATTATTCTCGACAGTTTACTTTCACTACATACACATAATCATGTATACATAATTAGTAGGTACACGTTTTTGTATTCGTAGATACATGCGCAACATAAACTTCGTTGATATATAAATTTTTTTTTCTGTGATGAGTGCCAAACACGGTAAGTTGACAGTGCTCATCGTAATGTACCTGGACCATAAATTTTAAGGTTGAGGTCATTTTGCTCGTTATAATAATATTCGATAATTATTTTTGATTAGTAGAAATGGACCGAAGACCATCGTCTTACAGATCACGTCCATCGTCGTCCAAACCATCGGGTCCTAGTTGTGTGATCTGTTTTAAAATGCAATCAATTTATTCAATTGGTACTTGCGATCATCCTGTATGTTATGAGTGTTCAACTACCATGCGAGTGCTCTGCGATCAAAAGGAGTGTCCAATATGCAGGCGAATACTGACCAAGGTTTTTAATACAATATTTCATCCTTAATTTCTGATGTACTGATATCTATAGTATCATTCAACTATTCTTACAATTATTATAATATTTACTACTTACCATTATGAGTTCAGAGTTATATGAACCTTATCAGTTAATATGTGTACCTGTATATGAATATTTTTTAACACCACTAACATAATTAGTACCTACCTAGATATCTAGTGAAATTTCTTATGTTGGTGGGAAAATATATATCAAAGACAAATAAGCAAGTTGAGTTTCAACGCTATCTATCTAACAATAATAAGTAATTTACTGGATAAATAAAATGAAATAGCAATATTTTTAACAGTCGAATATTTTAAAGTAATAATTTAAATACATTGATTAAGATTAAAAATGTTTGATCATTTATTTTTTGTATCTAACTATTACAGTACGTTAAAACTGTATTTCTTGAATTATCCACTTGTAATTCATTCACTTAGTCACTGTATAACTTTTCTTAATCAATTATGTGGCCTGCTAATTCATCCATTACTTGTCCTGTTTATCTCGCTGCATATGTTTACTCTAAAATACTGAATGATATTAATGATTACAATACTATGAGAACTTAAATTAACATTATTCAACAATGTATACCTTATATATCTAGTATATACTTTATTTTGAATTAAGAGTTCAATATCTTATTTTATAACTAGCTAATGGGTAGGCATAAATAGCCAAATAGCCATTTAAAGGAATTTCAATTATGTGTTACCTCAATCATATTTTATGAAATAACAACTTAGGAATTACTTTTAGTTATCGATTATTTTATGCTATAGTTTATCAATTGATAATTTTCTTAAATTTAGAATACACCTACATTTTAAATGAATCTATTGTTGTATGAAAAATTTAATGTATTCACATTACAAAGTTTACAAGTAACAGGGTGACAAGGATATCATTTTCCAGTGTGTTTTCCCTGTCTTCCAAATATTAGCAAATTTGGTTATAGTAGAATCAATTTTGTGTGGTTAGTTTTAATACTATAGTGAATTGAGTTATTTTCAAACTTAAAGGTTAAAATATTGTTCAGTGTTGTATGATATTTTGTTATTAAAATGAAACTATATACAATGTGATTTTTTAAGCATGCTCACTCCATTTTTATGCTTAAATTATGCATATATTCATATTCTGATTTTAGGAATTTTTAAGTGTAGTTAAATACAGTATTTTCGTGTACTTAGATTTTTCACAACATTTAAGGTTTATCCTGTGGCGATACCAACTTTTGTTTTTCAAATGACAACCTATATGTTTTAACGCAAAATGGGATTCAGATCATTTTTCTGAAAATGTTGACATTTTGTAATCGAAATTTGAACAAACACTTCCTTAGTTATTCTTCTTTACATACTAAAGAATATGGATAAAAGATAGACCATAATACTACAATGCTTTGTAAAATGGATGTGAGCTCGATAATTATAATTCGGTATGCAATATAAGATATTCATCAATAATTAATACCTAACCAAATTATAATTATCGAGCTCGTATTCATTCACATAGTATTTAGTATTTAATATATTACTATCCTTATTCCTCAGTATTTAAAGAAGAATAACTGAGGAAGTTTTCATTCAAATTTCGATTACAATACGTCAACATTTTCAGAAAAATTATCTGAATCACATTTTGCTTTAAAACATATAGGTTGTCTCTTGAAAAACAAAAGTTTTTATCGCCACAGGATAATCCTTAAATGTTGTGAATAATCTAAGTACACGAAAATAGTGTATGCAGAGTATAAAATAATTCATCTATAGTTTATTTAACACGTTCATGACTGGAGGCAAATTGTGTATCCTTATAAATAACCAAAAATAAATTTTTAGAAAAATTAATTTTTTTTTACAGAAATAAATTAATTTCACTGTTTAAATAACAAATTTTATCATGTACAACTTTTAAAAGCTCTAACTTTCATGTCAACTTATGTTGACACTGGTTTTTTTTAAGGATACTCATTATAAAAACCCACTTGTCAACTATGATTGACATAGAAAATAATATAAAAATACCAACAAATAAATAAAATAATAGTTATAATAATTAAATTATAAAATTAAAATTGATACAACCTTCATAGATATGAAATAAACCATTAAAAATAAAAAAATCAACACCTTTGTAAAACATAATAAAAACCTAACAAAAATCAAATAACAATTTTTAAATTTTCAATGTATGTAACTTGTAGTGACACTTTTCTTCTCTTTAGCTTATCAGTGTAATTATATTTTGAAATTATATAGTTTGTATATAAAACTAAATTAAAACATTTAAAAAAAACAAAACCTTTTTTATATTTATAATAAAAAACTGCATAAAAATAAATTATTTATTAAACTATTTTGTATGAAAAATCTTGAAACAAGGATCTGCACATAAACCTATAGTATTTTCTTTTTCGTCTTTACAAGTGTCACATATAAATAAAGTTGTGCTTCTTTTTTTATTAGCATGGCATACCCTACATCTTTTTCGTTTTTGAACTTTTTTTATATTGTGTACTGGTTTACTTTGAGTTTCATTTATTGTTAAAGATTTAGGGCTGCATGATGGTCTTTTATTCAATGGAACACCAAGTAAAGAACTTATAATTTGTCTTCTAAATTCTAGATGGGAAGTTTTTGATACTTGTAAATTATATAAGTAGTTGGAGTTCCATAAACAGATATCCACTAAATGAAAAAATACTTTGATATACCAACGCATACATTTCCTGGGCATTGGATAATAGCTCATCATCTGGTCAGCTCTATCTATTCCTGACATGTGATTATTATAGTCAACAATCACAGTAGGTTTGAATTTTTGTCTACCAAATTTATCAATCACATTTTCAAAACCTAAATTGTGTTTTGTTGATATCATACACACTTCTCTTTTATCAACCCATTTTGTTACATGCACATTATTTTTTTGTGCATGAACTGCTTCACCTTTTTTTAATTTTGCAGAAGTTATACTTGGATTTTCTTTTCTATTTTTTCTTAAAGTTCCAACTACATGAGTTTTATTTTTATATAAATACTCAGCTAGTTGTACACTATTATAATAGTTATCCATATACAGTGTATGGCCTTTCCCTAAATAGTTCTTCATTAGTTTATCCACAATACCAAACGTCACCCCTCTTGAATCTGTTACTGTACCTTTACCTTTATAAATAATCAAATCTAAAATTAATCCATCATCAGTACAAAGTTCAAAAAATTTTATTCCATATTTGTGTGCTTTACTAGGGATATACTGTCTAAAGCTTAACCTTCCTCTCCACAGAAGCATAGATTCATCTAATGACAAACATTCTTTAGGATAGTATTTAGTTTGAATATTAGAAATTATAGGACCAAGGACATTATTAATTTTGTGTAAACGATCAGACTTATCTGTTGTAAATGGATCATAAAAGCATAAGCATCTTAAAATAGTTTCATAACGATTTCGACTAAGAGTTTGGCCATAAATTGGATGATAATCAATTTCTGATTGTGACCAATATAAACGTATAGTAGGGAGTTTATGAATACCCATAAGTAAACTAAGACCAATAAACTTTTTCAATTCACATATGTCAATATTTTTCCAACTACTTAAATTTGAGCGTTTCTTTACACCTTGAGATCTTAAAATGTTTGCTTTCAAATTTACCCAAGTCACTATATTATTCATAATACTATCATCAAAAAATAAAGAAAAATAATCATAAGGATTATTACTTGATAAAGTGCATTGCAATCCAGAATTACCAGTAAAATCAAATAACTTGGGGATAGTATTTATATCTGAATTCCAATCATTATCTGTAATTTCAACGTCTGTATCCGAATCTTCAATAATTTCATCACTATTATTGTTATCTGAATCGTGTTGGACATACTCATCAGAACTATAGTCATCGTCAAACGAATCTGAACTAGACAAGTCAAGCAGATCTGAGATTTCATTAGTATTCATGGCAAAAAAATCTTTTGGAAAAATTATATTTTATTTGGATTTTGAATATGTAATATGTATTCATGTACATCTAAACCTAACATAATAATAATGTGTTAAAAATTATAATATTATAATAACAAAGATTCGGAATTGATTACCAACGTTATCAGATGTGTAAGCAAATGTTTGTATGATCGAGAAACCCAGGGTAACTGCTTGCATTTAATAATTTTGTGAATTAAATAAAACGCGATCTAGTGGAGCTATTCAAAAACCAATGTTACCTAATGATAAAAAAAAATGTGTTGAATAAAACCATACAATTTATATGGTTGTTAAAAAAAACCACGTATCAGGAAACCTTATTTACTTAAACAGGCTGCATGTCAACTATAGTTGACATCTGTTATTTTAAAGAGACCCCATGTCAACAATAGTTGACATGCGGTCGTGAACGTGTTAATATACACATTACACATACCTTGTTACATTTACTAAATTCAATAACTTACATTTTCGATCCAGTTTAAAATCTTTATTAATATTTAAATCTTACTTACAAATAATTGATAAAATATGTTTTATACATTTATTCATTAGTTGGTATACATTGAAATATACAAAACTTTGAACACATCACTTAGTAATAATATACAAAGTTGATTTACATTTTATCGAAGTGTAATTTACTTAACTCAACTTATATTAATTGAATTTTATTTTGGTTACAGGTTATTTTTACTAAAGATGAGGTGGATTTGTTTAAAAATTTAGATGATCGTTCATATCCCCGTTATAACAAAAAGTATGGCATTGCGTTTGGTGATCTTTCTGTGGAAAATTCTTTTGACCAATTACTGCGTTGCTACTGTAAAAAATGTTACGAACGCCCAGAGTTCACAACATTTGAACAATTAGCTACACACATGGAACGAAACCATCGTCTTTATGCTTGTCGTCTTTGTGTGAACAATTTAAAGGTGATTTAAATTAAAGATTAATTATTTTAAATATTCATTACTTTACATTTTTGAAACTTTAAATCCTTCAATATTAGACTATGAGTTGATTTTTCAAATATCTGTATTTTATTTCTGTTTGACATCTTTTTTGGGCAGTAGAATTACTTTGATTTTCAATTTTACTGATAGGTTTTGGTAAAAATTGGATCTAGTTAGTATTTTGTTGAGGGGGATCAAAAGCAAAAAGATACCAGTATTTTACTAATGATTTTAGTTATATTTTTGTAATTAAAAAATATTTGTAGGGACTTCAAAATTGTATATATATTATTTATTTTATTTACCTACACGATGCCATTTACAAAATATTAAGATTAAATTTAAGCTATTTCCCATTTATACCACTTATTATATTACATACTTATTCACACCGCTGTATAGTTAGTTGGTATTGATTGTAAAGTTGGTAATAATAATATATTATTTTAATAATTAAATATTGATAATAGATGTAATAATTGCATTGTTTTTAAAAAAAATTGATTCAATCAACTGTATTACTTATGGTAAAATAATAAAATAAACTTAGTTACATGGGCCGAAGACCATCTCCTTTCAGAATTGGTTTTTTGTATGCAATGAGTTATCATTGAATTCAAATTTAACACGTTCATTCTATTGACTCAATGACAATGTATACTCGACCCTAACTGTGTATAGTGAAGTAGTTACCTACTTTCCTCTTTTTTATAATGTACTAATGCTTTACAAATTAATTTGTAATTGTGTATTTACTTTAAAAATTATAGATATTTCCAAGCCAGAGACGTTGGTATAACTATGATGAATTAACTAGACATGAAGAATGCGGAGACCCCGATAATACATCTCACCGAGGCCATCCTGAATGTCAATTTTGTAATGTTCGTTACCTAGACAAAGATGAGCTTTATAAACATCTAAGGAAAGAGCATTTCTATTGTCATTTTTGTGATGCTGATGGTATTCAAGACTACTACATGTGTGTATCCATGTTTATATACATCAATTTACAAATAGATCGACTTTTATATATATTTTAATGTATTTCCTGACCCAAATGTTTCTATCTTTCAGGACATATGACTGGTTGAGAAAACATTATTTTGACAAACACTATCTTTGTGAAGAGGGAAGTTGTATCAATGAAAAATTTACATCAGTTTTTCGTACAGCAATCGATTTACAGGGTATATATTAGCAATATAATTTTTTATATTAACAATTTTTTTCGTAGAATATTGTTAACACACACACGTATTTGTTGTTACATAATAGCTCATAGAGCTCAAACACACAGCAGAGATTTGGGAAAACAAGGATACAAAGAAGCGCGTACTTTAAAACTTGAGTTTACCTTACGACCGAGACACAATCCGGCTGTTGAAGCAGGCAGGCCAAACCAATACCAACCGCCCCGACCCCGCCAACCACCATCTGATTATTCGTGAGTTTAATATATATACAGTAATTAATTTAACTGTACAGTCTACAGTTCTACACTACAATTTTCTAAAAATATAATTATGTGTAGTGTAGCTATCAACCCAACCGTAACTTGTTTCAAAAACCATAAAATGGCCTAGACATTTTAGCTTAGTCAATTAAATAGATCGGCTTTATTAAATAAATAAGATGATTACCTATATTGCAGCACTCATGTTTAACCAATCTTGTCATAATTTATATATGTGCAGTCACAACAACAACAACCATTCCGTCGGTCAAGAGTTGGCGACCTCATCATCAGCATCGGATCGCGCGATCAACGTACGCAACACCTCAGACTTCCCATCTTTGAATGGTCAGCATACTACGGTGTTGCCATGTGCCCGCACCAGGAAACAAAACCAATCAGTCAACACACGAGATTTGCATTCGTTCCCGGCCCTGGGACAGGACCCACAGCCGCCGGTGGCGCCCAAGGCACAGAAACCAGCGATGAACAGCATCCGAATGGCCGCTGTGCTAAAGAAACCTGCGGAACCCCCTAAGCCGGACCGAAACAAAGACGCCAAGGCGCCTTCAGGCCCACGGTTGCCTAATCAGGCCAGGGATTTTCCGTCCCTGGACGGCAACCAAAACCAACAGCCACAACAGCAGCAACCAAACCTGCAACACCCCAGGTTGGCTGCCAACAAGGAGACGACGGCGGCCAGTGGTTCGGGTGGTGGCAGTTGGGTGTCTAAAGCCAAGACAGGAAACGAGAGTGACAAAAAAAAAGTTAAAAAAGAACCGGCTGCAATCAAGAAAAAAATAGCCGAGGCGCCCAAGGTTCCAGGCCCATCGGACTTTCCGAATTTGAACAAAAAATATGAACCGTCCAAGAGCAACCTTGCTAAGTTGGGCGGAAACAAAAAGAAATCGGAAAACTCGAAGAAAATCATGCCAGGAGAAAACAACGTCAACGGCAGTGGTAGTGGTACTGTTCAAAGCGGGAAGAAAAACCTTGCAACTGTGGACCACAATGGCGCCAATAAGGAAAACTGCAACAAGTCCAATACGAAAACCGTCGACGCGGTGCAGATGAGCAACGGCGAAGTGTTATGCAAGACGGCGACTACTACTTCCACAAACAATAAAGCAGTCACCAGCAAGCCTGAAGTGATTAAGCCCGTCTCTGCAACCCCTGCAGAACTACCGAAAAAAGAGCCGTCCAAGAAGAAAGAGTCTGCTGCGGTAGGTCGACCGTCGGCACAACCTGACGAAGAATCCGTGTCGGACGCTAACAACCCGAAAGAAAAGAAAAAAAGAAAAAAGAACGAAAATCGAGGAGAGCAACAACAACCCACCTCAACGAGTCACCAACAACAAGAAAATCATCACCAGCAACAGCTACCGAACAATTATATCAAAACGTTAACGCCGAAAATACCACCCGGCTTCGAGAACGCGTACCAACAGCAACAGCAACAACCACAGGTCAGAGCACCCCCCGGGCTGTCTGGTAGCCGTGGACCTTCACCCGCAGCACAGAACCATCTCCGGATCAAAGCGCCGCCTGGTCTGTCGTTGACCGACAGCGGTGGTGATGGCGGTAAACCGTTCGAGTACTTGCATCCGGCCGGCTCGTCCGTCCGGAACAAAGTGCTCATCAACAACCTGATGGCCTCGCTCATACCTGCCCGCGACGAACGCTTCGACACTTTCGAGAAGTTCAAAGAGATGTCCACGCTGTTCCGCAAACACGTCATCACCGCGTTTGATTTCTACTCGTACTGTGTGGAAGCACTGGCTCCGCACAGCTTCGATGCCGTGTTCCAAGAACTCGTGCTGTTGTTGCCCGACATCCAGAAGCAACGGGTACGTACCTACGTCATGTAACATATGAATTATGATGAAACAACTTATGAATATCGTATTCAACTCTACTTGTCCCTATCGTCATGCCTTTATCTAGCTTTTCATATGCCTTCGTTTTTAGACCTCTTTACGTATTGATTTTACGATTCTGAGCGGAGACGGTATGTCAGTCCAAGATATTTTATATGATTATACCTATTATTAATGCGGTAGCCCGTAAGTTGAATTAATATTATTCTTAAATCATCGGTGATGCTGGAAAAATATTAAATATACTTATGTAAAATTGGGCTGTTTTAGAACCGAATTATAACAAAACGACAAACGTAATTCTTTGTGTTAATATTTAATTTTGTTCAAATTTGAACTTAAAATAACTGTATTTTTAAATTTTTTAGTTACGAAAAAAACTGCTTAAGTATAACTTTTTTTTAAATTTGATAAATATTATCAAAATTTGAACTTTAAAGCTTGTAAACAAAAAATCGTCCCTGTGTATTTTTAATATTTTTAAACTGCTCTTGTAACAATATATCCAAAGTCTTGTATTGAATTAAAATGTTCATGCTTTTTGACCCAACCAATAAAATTTTATTGGCGTTTATAGGAAAACAATGAAAAAATATGAAAATTGAAAATGTCCGTCAACCGCTTAAAACGAATCAAAATATTTTTAAAATTGTATTAAGTGTATATATATTGATGAAATTTACATATGGTGTAAATTTCAAGTGTCAACAATAATTTATTTTTGAATTAAAACAAAATAAGAAAATCGCTTTATGAGAAATCGAATGTAAAAATTTCAATTTCAAACACTCATAAAAATTTAATTTGACTTTCCAGTAGAATTTTTTTTCAATAAAGTTAGACAAACTTATAAGGAATCTTGTATTACATTTTTAAATCTTAGATATAAAAAGAAAATTGTTCAGACACAAAAAAAAACATTGTAAAATCAATACATTCATCGGCCAACCGACTGTCTCAGTTCAGAATCGTTTTTTGTAAGAGATTATTTATCATTGAATTCAAATTTAACCCATCCATAATCCATTGCAATGAGTTACTCAATGATGACACTCGACTCTGATTACAGCATAGCGGCTGCTTTTTTTTCTCCAATTTGAATTTCCAATTATAACTTATAACAATAGTGCTACAAATATAATTAATAATTATTAATATGGTAATCGTAATTTAATCAGTTTCTTTTTATATTTTAATAAGGAATTGCTGTTCATCTATAACCGGAACAGCAGACATGAAATGGACGTAGAAGTGTGCAAACACTGTCGCCAAGTGTTGAGGGCTAGTGACTTGGAATCTCACCAGTCCGTTCACAGTTCGACTGCGCGCAGTTGAAATTCATCGGAGCCGTCTGTGTCTGTATTGCACAAATCGCATCACGACCGCCGGTCATGTCTCCCAAATGTAATTATTAAATCATCATTTTATTATAATTTTATGTAAACGTTTTTAAAAGTTGCGCTCGCGAGTGGGTGTTAAAAATATCAAAAATATTACTACCTATAAATAGTTATTTTTTTTTTTGTAATTATTTATTATTATTATTTAATTGCATGTATATAAACATTATTAATTCTTAAGAGAGCTAAGTTTAATGTTAAACACATTTGAAAACAATTATTAACAATAATATGTTCTCCAAAGCTCAATGTGCTTGTTAAGTTTATATTCATATATATTATTTACCTATTATTATTATTATTATTATTACTATTATTATTATAGTTATTTGTCGGCTCTGTTCAAATATTTACAGTGATAAAATAAAAATTAACATCGTCCGCCATTTAAAAATTGACGATTTAAGTGAAATATATTATATCATTCAATGTATATATCAAGTGTTTTATGTATGATACAACTACACACTTATAACAGTAATAATAATAATACTAATAACAATATTATGTACAGGCAGGTCGTGATGTTTTGCTCGATAGCTCCGGTCGTATACTTGATGTGTATATTATATCTAGAAATCAATCGTTTTTAATACAATATAATACGTACTAAATATTATTATTATATAAGTATATTTTATTATATTATTATATACAACCGACTAATTATCTTTGGGTACAGATATTATCATATTGTTTTTAATTATAGTGTAAGGGAGAAACACATTACATATTGTACATTATGTATGTTTTCGGTCGATCAGACAATAACATTATACTAGACTGTAATAAAGAAAAATAAATGTGTATTTGTAAAAGAAGTGAGCTTATTATTAAATTGTTTAAATTGTGTTCAATGTACATTATTACTTTATTCTACTAAGACTACCGTGTTGCCGGCATATGATCGTGATAAGGATAACCAACACTAGTAACCTATCGAGTATCCATGTGACCATGTCATGTCACCTAACACAGCATATAATATAATTATTCGGAAACTCCATCAAACCACAGTTTAATCCTTCCTTCTTAGGCCAATATCCCCTGTCACGTTGATGAAGGCCTGCATTCCGCCTGCAGTGGAAATTTGTAATTCCGAAATGCGGAAATTTCGCTTCTCTATCGTCTTCAATGAGACCCCGTGGGCTGCACAGAAGGTTCTCAACTCTTCTGGATGCTGCATTCCAGTCACATCGTAAAGATATCTACCAAAAAATGTCTACTCTGAGTTTTTTTACGCGGCTGTAACACAAATACACAATTTTCCAACATTTCGGAATCGTGTAGATTTGAATAACCATTTATATACATAAGCACGATTCCGCATAATTTAAATGCAACTTTGTCGTACCAAAAAGCTTGCAATATTATTGTAACGTTTGTATCGTTATGCGCAATGGATGACTGGTGATTTTATTAAATATGTTCGTATTAATCAAATATAGAACGTAAAGCTAAATAAATACTGTATACATATGTCCATACATCGCATTACGACTGTTGCAGTACTATTTGCCAAACCATAATAGTTAGGTCACCAGTTATATGACTTAATATTAGCTCAGGTCTACACTCACCCATCTATCCATTCCCTCCCAAGGTAGAATATTTCCATCCAGGAGGGTTTGGTGATCGGAGCCCGCGGGCTTAAGGAGCGACTACTTCGTCATACTTTAACCAAATACTTTACTTTAACAGTTATAAATCCTTTACCCGTGTAGGTACCATATACTGATATACCTGCTATATCCTCTGTTACCTTTTATTTTGCACAACACCTAGTTGAAATTATCGTAGTTGATATTCTGACTTATGGTTTATTTCCTTATGATTTCCAGAGGTGGAATAATAACTGATGTTTTAAGAAATTTCATAAACTTAAATTTGACACTGATACATCATGTTTTTCGTATGACACAAGCATTAATATTTTTCAAAGTTCATAAGTTTACTTTTATATTATATTTTTAATTAATTGAAGAAAAAAAAATAATACCAATAATGAATGTGTAAAAATAAATAAAATCTTAAAAATACTATACCTATTCCGTATTCGCCTCAATCATAATGAATAAATTAAAATATGAATCTACTTAAAAATTATTTTTTTAATTTTATGTACCTAGGTAATATAATAGATATACTCGTTCTCGTGGTTTTCAGTTACTTTTTACTTTAGTTTAATACATTTATACATGTATAAAGAGGGTAAATAAATGTAATGGCAACGTTGCATAAAAAAATCGTGTGTACGTATGCAATTTGTGGAATAGGTAGTTATCTACTGCTATCCGAGTTGCGGCTTCGGTTGCAAATTTGCAATAGGTATTTACCATTTTTAGATTTGTCGATCATAATATATACATTGATGATTCATACCCATAATAATGTCGAAGCCTGTTTAATAATGACAGCTGATAATTATACAGTCTACGCGTCATTGCATTCATGTTTTATTGTCTTAACTCTTAAACAATTTTGTTTATCATTTTGAGGCACGTCATATTTTATCATCGTTGACTGTAATGACAGTTACGAAGTAACAAGTACAAATTAATAATTAACAAAAACTAGTTTTATCAGAGCTGCAGTGTCGCAATATTAAAATTTACCAAAAATACCAAAGTTACATATTTAACCTATCCTAGTATAGTGTTATCCTATATTACTATTTTCCTGTATTACTTGAAGTAATGATACTGCGAACAGTCTGTGAAAAATGAGAAGGAAAATTATATTTTTTTTTAGTAGCCTCTTCCTATTTCTATTGGAATATTAGATCATATGTTTATGATCTAAGACCGCTTCTGGGATGGAGTCATACCCCACGATATCCACTTCGTCGAATCCTAATTCGCCGACATCTCTAGCTGTTCATCAACTGCAAAATACAAATATGCTATATTTAGATAAGATTTATTATTAAATTCCCATTTCGCAAACTTCTCCATTTTGTTGATAAATATACCGCACGTACATGTCAATTTTATTGACGTTTAACAATCTTCCAAATTTGTGGACTGATGACATTGATATTGTTAACAATTGGTTATGATAATGATGAAAACAGCATAACGTCGAATGTAGTATTTAAAATTTTTTCCCACACATTGGAAATATAATCCTGATGCGTACACCTAGTTCGGAATTATTTAAAAGTGTTCCGTCGTAATGGAATGGTTCAAAATTGAATACAAAAAAGATCACAATGATATTATATGTTACTAATTAAATAACTGTATTTATCGAATTTATTATTTATCAATATGCACATTTTTTAAGACTGAATTATTCTGTTTAATGATATTTTATTGGACAGCAGAGCTTAATCGAGGTGAATCGATGGTCGGAAAATTGAGAAAATGAGAATTTCTAGTCGACGATGTGGGAAGATATGTCTCTAGATTAGTGGTCACATTTTTGGAAAATATTTTATTACACACTTTCAGAGAGGTAGCACAAGGGTCATTGAAATGATTTCAGTTTTTAAAGGGGAGGCAAACGTTTTGACCAGCCCATGTATCTGAAAAAATTTAAATTTCGTATTTTATTTCATTCGAGATTAAAAAAATTAAAGTTTTCACAATTTCTCTGGAAATACCTACCCATCAATTACCGATCAAGACCAGTGACACAACCCCTTAGCTTGCCCCTGAAGCCACTCTTCAACCCTCTTTATTCTACATGGCAAGTGTACAGAGGGCTGACTCTGTACTCAGTAGGGATGACAGATTGGTATGACCTGACTGCTGCTCAATGAAAACAGGTCAACATCAAAGTTTGTGAATGGAGTTTAGAATAATAGTTAATAAAAAGTAATAACAATAATGATTAAAATCCACAAAATGTATTTTGCTTGTACAATAGTTGTATGTATAATATACATTAGGTTTGATGAAATCATCACAATAGTATTCTTGGAGACAAAACAAAATGCAACCGTTATGAATAAAAAATTACAAGAATTTATTTAATAAATATTAAAAACCTTGCAATACCATAACTCATAAGTTGTAAAGTTTTGAGTTAAATAATAAAAACATATCATAGTATACATCAATTATGAGTTATATTAAAACAATTGTTTTTTTTTTCACTTAATTATGTTTTTTTTTTATATAAAATGTAATTGAGAAAAAATATATATTTGTAATAACAACACCTATACTATGTTAAATATTATGTGTACACTTCACGTAACGTAAATAATCATAGTCTTAATATCTCTTAAATAAAACTTTTTAGTAAAAGGTATGCACATAGCACATATTTGATAAAAGTTAGATTGATAGACAAACAAAATATAGAGTGACAAGTTAAAATAAGTGTGAGTCCACCTTTCATTGGAATTCTTTACTTATCAAGGAAATGGTTAAGACTGTCACACATATCACCGTCCAAATCAGAATGCACAGTGGCCAATATTTAGACTTGAATGGTGAGCAATAATCATTTTTAATTGCAGCCACTTGTTGTGGAATTTCAGCACGCGCAGCCATGACCAATAATGCAGGGGTTGCATATTGAATACCGGTACCAGCATACACAGCAACAATCGAAACCTGCAAAATTTAAAATTATAATTTAAAAACGTCACTCAGTCCCCACTGTTTTGGTTATAAACAATTGTAAAACTTTTATGTATAAAACAATTAAGTGAACATTAAATTTTTTCTGTTGACTAAATGTATCTGAAAAGTAATTTTATGTGTTATACACTTTATACCTATACATGAAATTATTTTTATTTATAATAATTGTTTTATATTTTGATGACTATTACTAGTTACTACATATTTACCCAATTACACAATCAAAGAGGGTTGGGGCATCCATAATCTCTTTAATATAAATTAATAACTTAAATGAAACCATTTAAAATTAACCATTAAACATTCAAAAATTCACTTGTTATAATTAATTTAAATTTAAATAAAATGTATATGTATAATAACAACAAATCTATAAATATTAATATTAGTATATGCACAGTATATTATGAATGTGATTGTAATTAAAAGCTAAATTGCAAGGTTTATTGCATAGACCAAATTATTCTTAAAAAAAAAAGATTGGGAACAAAAATATCTAAAAAGATTTTTATTACTTTTTTATTTTTTTTTTCAAAGAAATTATTTAATACTTGAATCCATTTCATAAATATTGAATGTTTGGTATTCATCCAGCATAAAATCTATACATTTATGTTCATCAATATAGAGTAAAAATGTATGATTTCTTCTTTACAATAAACACTTCTAAAATACCGTATTAAAACTAAAACATAATTAATGAATTAGATGCTTACTAAAATTTCAAGACGTGTCACAAAAGCCGCTAGTAGCACAGGTGTTACTAAAGAGAATAGTGGTATAACTATTCGCTTCCAGATCCAATGAGCATCGCTTGGAAGAAACATCACCTACAACAAAAATATAAAATACATTACTCAGGGAATAAATATGATTAATTAACAAGTTTTATTATAGAATAGATTAATTTTAGAACATGTAACTAAATTATATATACAGTAGTTTATCGTATTACATTTTCATATATTCTAATCAATTCACAATTCATGTTTATAATTTATGTTATAGAACAGGGATGGGCAACTCAAAGTTACTAGCGGTCTACTTTTAAGTACTTTAAAATCTAGCGGGTTGCAGTGCATAAGAGAAAGTAAAAAAAAAGATCCTTCAAATTTACTAACATTTATTTTTTATCTTTATTTATTTATATTTACAATTATTATTTAATGTGATACTTGAGGATGTGGTTTTTCAATAGACAATTTAGTAAAATCCACTTATATTTTGAATGATTTGTCATGTAATGTCTTTTCAAATTATATTCTTTTAATACTGCAATAATATTGAAACAAACTAAACATTGAGGTTTATTTTGTTTGTTAGTAATAAATAAATAATCATTCTCCCAGAAGCTGTTAAAAATTCTATTTTCGCCTTTGATTTTATGCTTTTTAGCGGACATACAGTTTTATATCAAGAAAAATGATTTAAAAGAAAGAACTCGCATGCCTAATTAATAATTTTTTTTATCCAAAAGATGAGGAGAACATTTTGCAAGTTGGATCAAAGACAAAATTCTCATTCCACTATAGTGCTAGAAAAACCACTAATACTTAATTTGGCTTCCATAATTATAATTTTGAAAAACAGGATTTGATCTGACCTAAACAATGTTCTCCTTTTAAACAAAAAAAAAAATTTAATAACAAAATCCAACTATTTTACAGGTGGTGAGAGTTTTTCTTGTAAGATAATTTTTTTTTCTAAACGCACTAACTTTAACACCCTTGAGGCCTTAAATATTTAACGTCAACAGGGTGCTAAAAGAAAATTTACTGTTTCCATCTTGCAAGGATGCTACATAGCACATTTAGGCTTAGCAAATCATGTTAACTTTATTCGTTTGAAAATGTATGTGTGTTTAGAGTCCTCTTAAACCTATTTATAGAAATGAAAATTAATAAATGCTGTGCTTACTTGAATATTATTTCTTAATGTAATTGTAATAACTGGAAAACTAATACTGATTGTAAGTACAGGAAAAAGAACCAATATTGAATCAATCAGTTTATAAAATAGTCCAGTATCTTGTGATGGTGTGAAATTAATGGTATACAATTCATTAACTTTTGGGAATGCAAAAACACCTGTCATACACAAGCACATGTACAATGAGTATACTAACAAGAAGTTAGCTGCCACTTTTAATAGTATTTTGTTTTTGTTTTTGATTGGTGAAATCACAGACGGGATAGAATGATGACACATAAACGCATAAATCGAAGCGCCTATTAATTGTGGCATAGCAATAAAGTTTGCTGCTGGTGTATATCCATGTTTTTGGGTTGGGGAAATCAGTCGTATTGTTGCTAGAACAACCATTGCAATAATAGCTAAAAATAAAATAAAATACGTTGGTACAAATTATTAAATTAAATGTATTGTATTATTAACCAAATGGGTAAAATATAAACTATGATTATAAAAAAAAAACTTACCTATGATGCGCATGAAAAAACCCACAACTTGTAAGTATTTAGTCTTTTGGACATTAAAAAATGTGAACGGTCCAATTATTAAGATATACAGCATCTATTTTAAATAATTAATGTAATATTAGCATCAACTTTTTTGACAAGATTATTACTAAACAATTGTATACATACCAAATAGCTTAAATAAATCTCATGTTTAGTGTAAGAAGAATTTTCCCAACACAAATCTGACTTATTAGCAGAATTATTATTTGATTTGTGATCACTAAATAGTTGTAATAAATTCATAATAATATTGAACAATTATTTATATATTAATTATAAATTAATATTTATAATTAATAAATGGACAAATTACCAGGTAAAGTCTACAAGTGATTGTCCAATTGCTTTATAGTAAATAGATAAATCACCAAATAAATAGCCACTGATGGAAAAAAAAAACATCACTTTAGCAAATGGAGGCAGAAGTACTGCTACCATTTCACCCTAAAAGAATGATTTATTAAACATTTAAATAATGTACAAAAACAGCATTTAAGTATAAAATATTGTACCATTTCTATCCTATTATCAAGTGAAAGTAATTCAACAGATTCGGGTGGGAAATCCATTAAAGAACCTAAAAAATAAATAGTACATCATTTATTTAAAATAAAAATCCTTACAAAATATAGATAAGACTAATAGGAATAACAACTTATAGGAATAATAACTTATATGAGTATTAATATTTAACAATAATTAATAACATTAAGAAGTGTCCAGTGCACTGTTTGTTTTTACTCTTTAACCCATATGCAATATAGAAAATGTGTGTCCAGGAGAACTCAATCTTGTGTTGTTGGCTTTAATATTAGAGTGAATTGACTCATTATGAAACTTAATTTAAGACACCATTATCAATGATTGTTTATGTTGGGTTTTTTGCTATATTTAAATGTTTGTACAAATATGAGTATGTAAAATATTGCAATTAAGAAAATCGCACATGACATAAAAATGTAAATACCCTAAAAACTCAATGTACAAAAACAGACAATGTTAAGTTTCATAATAAATCAATTTATAAAATTATTAAAGCTAACAACACAGAAGTTGGTTCTTCTTTTGAAATAGCTTTATTGCTATCCTCCGATTTAATAGGTTGAGTGTGAGTCAAAGAGAGAAAAAAAACGTACTGTTTGAAATCATTGATAGTAATTCATTAAAAAAAAATATGGTTTTTAAATCTGCTTTTATCATAATACAATAAAAATAGTTATTACTATTTCAATGTGATAGAAATTGAATAATATTAACCATTTTCTTACTTAAATAAGTAAGTAAAGCAAAATAATTGTTACTTTTTATTACTTAAAATTAATGTCGAATTTGTTCAATGGTTAATTATGATTTATGCTTATTATAATAGTGTCCAATTTTAAATGAAATGTCTATCATCTTAAGATATATCTACTGTGTAGTGTATGATTATAAATTAATAAATATAATTGTATTAAGTATGTTGCATACTAGTTGTAGGTAAAACTGGATTGTCAAAAATAGGTGCTTCATTGTCACTGTTATAACTATCCGTACTAGCATTTGAAATTCTGTCATAGTTAACTGATGAAACTTGTGGCATCATGTCCTTACACTAAAAAAATATTTATTATTAAGTATATATTTTATATACTGATATAGCACAGAAGTTTTACAAGTATCTTCAATCGTATATAATTTAGATAGTTGTCTAAGCAAAAATGTAAATTATAGCTCAGAATATTTTGTTTACCGATTTCAATACCCTGGTAACACTTTTCATCATTTGCAATTTACGAAGTTGTGTTATAGAATTTGTAATTGTTATTGCTTCTATAACAAATGTGAACGTGATGTAACTGCAAAATAAATAGATGTTAAAAGTTATCCAATCAGTTTTAAACATTACAATAATAAAGCATTGCATTACCTTAAAAACGCCATAGTGGCAATAAATATACCACTCAAAAGCCATCCAGTTTCTTGAACAACAGCTGGCAACGTTAGTGAACCCGGCCCAATAATCAGGTTAAAAACAAAGATCAAACCGATCTGTGAAGAACAGACATTGGTCAGGTAATTTTTCATAAGGGTAATAATAATCAATAAGATTGACAAGTAATATTACTTACAGGTGTCGAGTATAGGGAACTCATGGTAGCGTTTTGAATGCAACAGCTACACTATATTATTGTGTCCGTAATATTTACAGTTACGGTCTTGACGTAACAACGACGAATGGCGACATTGCATACAGCTCGTCTGCAACAAATATAAAAAGCAAAACGTTAAGTCACTCACAACAATATTTTCAAAGCAAACACCCGAGGGGAGTTTTGGATATTCGTCAAAATAAAACGACCATAATACTGAACGCAGCACCGAATTGCAATAATATAAGGTAATAGTGAAATAATATTTTTTAACAACAGACCTACCTTACATTACCGCCGATTCGTAACGACGGACTAGTGTGACCGTGACGGGGAAACGTCAATGAATACTATGCTTTAGAAGTCTGCTACCACCAAAAATACGTCCTCGAATAACAACGGTTTAACCGACTAATCTAATCTGTTCCGATTGGATTTTATTATTATTATTATTAATATTATTACTATTATTGTTATTTATTATATTATTATTTTTACAACTCACTGTTACATACAACTGTTATTATTATAATACCGAAAGATGACTAGAGAGATAAAACAAAAACGTGTGATCGTTCATCGTGGTCGGTGTCCCTTAGAAAACCATTCGTATCGTATACTGTGTGTGTTTGTGCCCATTCACAATTATTGTGTGTTGCTTATATCCGTATTATTTTAACATTGCTATTGTGTCATAATAACATGGTATTTCATTAATATGTCGATATAACGACATTGTCAGAATATTGTGTTAAAACCAAAAACCGTAAGTTTTCAAGTGGCATCGGATATCAGATATCAGTCGTAAATCACGGTCTGAAACCCAAGTCGTAGATAACACTATTTACGTCGTGCTGCGCTTATGCCTTATTGGGCGATTGTTTCTGCGCAGCGGACAACAGTGGTCGTGCACGGTGACGCACGATTTTATTGTCATTCCATGACCGTTGTTCAGATCGTTTTTTAATTATTACGTGTTGTCATCAATGGTCAGTACCACCGCGGGTTACCACAGTGGTTTTACTCGTTGACCGTCAGATAGGATAAAAAATATAACGATATTGTACGAAATTAATTTTTCCTTCGACGTTTCAATCGTATAGAACTATTAGAACTACGATCAAGCGGCGTTGTGGATAGGCCACTAAACGTTTCTAATGTTTCTATAAATCACCGGCAACGGTCGCCCAGCAAGGCAGTGATACAGTAAGCGTGCCCATGCAATTATGTGATAAAATGATGAACGTCGAGATTCATTTTCATTCAATTAGATTTTAATCAAAATTGTTTAAATTTAATTTAATAGAAATACGATTTAGAATTCTTACCCAAAAGCCGGAGAAGTCCGTTCAAATTATCTTAAAATTTGTTTTTATCATATTGCCTATATTATATTATCTACTACTACTACTACTACTACTACTACTACTACTACTACTACTACTACTACTTATACAAATATGTAAAATAGTAAATGACAACCGTGAGTGAAAATTAAATAAATTTTAAAATTTTGATTCTTGTGCTAGGTAACTATTATATGATACTTTGACGAATTACATAATAGTAGATAGTAACGATGTAATTAATGACGGTTGACGAATATGTCAAAATATAAGGCTCGTTAGTCATCTACTGTTGAATGTATATGAAACGTCTTCAGGTTTATAGAGTCCTCTATTGCCAACTGGTATCGTTCAGATAAATAGACAGTCAAAAGTATATATTTAGCAAAGTAAGAAAGCTATACTAAAATAATAAATTTAGTTGTTATCGTCAATCGGTAAAGTTTATTGGTATAAATTAATAAATTTTATATTGCTACTACGTATAGTAATTTATTTTTGTATTAGTTGTACGTAGATTTTGGCAAGTTCCTTACAAAAAAGAATTCTTTCTTTTGTCGTTTCTTTGAAAAATGAAGGAGTTCCTTTTTTAGTTCCAAATAAAATAAAAATTCTTATTTAATCGTCAATTTTTTTCCATAATTATACTTAGGTAGGTACTTAACTTTTTAACTATACTTGTATAGTTATACATACTTATAAATAGATACATTTATTGATTTAATAATATAATATTGAATATATTTTTTCCTTTATTCATATATATTTATTTTTTTCTAAACAGTATAAATTAATATTATATTATACGATTAACTTCGATACTCGGCAACGATCATTAATTTTGCAATATATACACTAGAAAAAAACAATTTAATTTAAATTATATACGCACCTGTGCAAATTGGAACTTGAAAGGAACGAAAAATGTCGTTAATTCCCTTGAAAAAAAACTCGTTCTTTTAAAAAAAAAAAAAATTTGTTCAATGTGTCATTTCTTAAAAGGAATTTATTCCATTAATCCGTTTTTTCCAAACATTGGTTATACGATAGGAGAACTAATTTATTGAAAATCGCATTTACAGTAAGCCCTCTTTATGTCGAAACTCAAGGGGAATAGAAAAAAGTTTGAGATATCAAGGTTTATTGTATAATGATAATTATTTCAAGGGAATTGAATTAAGTTTGAGAACATGAAAAATTTGATACATTGAAGTTCAACATAATAAGAATCTACTATACCTATTTATAATGTATATACAACTTTATTTTGAAAAAAATAATTAAGTAGACTGCTTTATTAGTGAACTACGCCTTATGAGTTATGACACTGTTTACTGTTCAATAGTTCAATACGGAAATTGAATTAAATTGTACATAGTTACAAGGGTGCCCATAAGGGGGTGTTATGTCACCCCCAAGACAGATGTGAAATGATACTAATCTTTTTAATTGTAAATAATAAACTATTTTTAGTTTTTACTGATGATATTATATGCTACGTCATGTATTACATGACATATTACAGAGGCGTACTTCGTTTATCCATGTTATATATCTATTTTCTATTATTTAATAAAATCAATTTTGTTGGTTCTTAGTTTTTTTTTATGATATTTTCACCCTCCTAGTTTCTATGTCTTTCGTATTTATCTAAAATTTGACAGTACCTACTAATAAAATCTATAAGTGCAGAAATGTATTTTTACAAAAGATACCTAAATAAGATTTTACATTTAACTGGTTGTATTAACAATACCTATTAAGGTACCCAGCGTATAATACTATAATAGGCTATAAAGCACAATCCGTGCAAGCTAATAAAATATAGTTATAAATAGAAGTGAAAGTTAAATATGCGTATTGTGTATTGCAAAGTTGCAATACAGAAAGATATATTTGCTCTGAATTCCTTCGTAATAGACCCTGATTTAAAGAAGTCCAAAAAGAAAGTTGGCTATGCGGTTCCACGCACGTCCAACCATAGACCAACCTACTCTCCTATTGTTATTATTAGGTGTAAGTGTAATATTAATTATTATTATTATTATTATATTACTAGCTGTTATTAGCGTTTAACAGTATGAGACAACAACATCGTCTGTCGCACTGTAGATCGGTGTGAATAGGTCCGTGGAATAAATAGCAAAATTATTTATTTATTTATTTTTAAAAGTTTAAAATTTCTACGAATTATATTTTTTGACAACTAAGATTTATAACATTATTTTAAAAATATAAATTATAAATACTGCTTATTTATATAATTATGAAAAAATATTATTTTTATTGACGTAAGATAAGAATTTGCAAAAGAATATATTTGCCATAAAATCATGTCATGTAATATGCGGCTATTTAGTGACCCCACCTTTTCCCACGGTACTGAGCAAATACAATTTGTGGGTGTATAGTACAACTATAAATGTCTTGTCTAGTTGTCTCTTACACAAAAAAGTCCGCTCTGCCACTGACTCGAAATCATAGTAATTAAAATTCAGCTTCTATTTTATTATTCGTAAAACTTATCGGAGTATGCTAATAACTCGACTAAAAAAAAACACATAGCTACATTTTGTATTTTTGTACGACCATTAGAATATTATCATGAATACACAAAGTTAAATAACTCACAAACTATTCGTTCGAAATTTTATTTAGATAGGTACCGACGTCAATATTTCCAACAATGTCATTTGCTTAACAATTCACAGAAAAACATTTTTGGTATTGGCACAGTGTACTCCCCAAATTGTATGAAAATCTAAGTATTTAAAAATATGATCCTTAAGTAAGTAAGCTTGGAAATTTCAAAAATCCGATTTGATTAAATTAGTTAGTAAAAGAAAAAATGGGGCATGCATGCTTGGAAAATTACCCTATGGTCTGTATAATATAATATTATTTTAATATCATTATATTACATTAAAAAAAAAATTAGTACTCAATAATAATGGAATTGAAAAGTTTATTTTGTAAAAAAAATGAACATACAAGTAATAGTGTGCCTTTTGTGCCTATATTAATATGCCAGGGAACTGGAATTATATGATACTAACTACTAAGTAATAATATAAATATTAAAAATACGAAACATTCAAATCTACAACATAATGAAAACTCTAAACTCATATCTTTAAAATTGTTAACATTAAATAATTATTATCAATGTAATGATTATTATAAGTTACTAGATACAATTATATTAATTTAATAATTTATTCAGTACACAGCTATTTATTTAATAAATAATAATTATTTTTATTTTTAATTAAAGTCATTAAGAATCTTTCAATATATTAAAATATTATATTGTTATACAGAGTTATACTACTTCAAAATATTTTTTCTTACAAAATTTGATGCGATAACCGCATATTAAGAAATTGTTTTACTACTTACCTGCGTTTTAATCATTTAAGTTGGAAGCCAATAGAAAAAATCTGAACAATCATAAAGTCTTAAAACCAAAATGCTTACAGACATTTTTTTTCTATTATTTAAAATCCAATAAAGGTTTTCGGAGTTGAATAGGTACGACTTGTAGAATTTAGTTATTAAAATAATTGATGGGTTATAAAAATAAAAACAATTTAAAAATATATCCAGGTGACAATGAGTTGGCCACCCTATTCATACATTGTAATTTTTAATAGTTATCGCATTGTATTACTATGATAAAAATAGCTTTAATTTAGCCCCTTATAAATTATAATAATTGGCCAACATTGGACATCTTAAGGACGTTTTACTATACAGCGTGAATTTTAGACCTTGGCGGTAAATAGAAAAAATGTGAACCCACAACAAACTCATAATTACAAACTGAAATTACTTGAACCTATTATTACCCATATAATAATTTTAGATGTTAATTTAGGCAATGTGAAGTAGATATACATTTTGACTGGCTCATTATTTTTTCACTAGAAAAGTAAAATATATGCGAGACAGTGAGACAATTAAATAATTTAACAAAAAGTATAATCGTAATCATTTGAATTTATTTAATTCAATATTATAATTTATAAAATGTATTGTGAATTGTTATATTATTTGATCAATTTATCGAGAAATTAAGGTTCATAACACTCGCATTAGAATAGAATAGTACCTAGGTAGTGTTATTATAATATACTGAAAAAAGAATAAAAAAATTATGGGAATGATAAATAACTTTATATGTAACAATAACAAACTATTGAAAATCGTCTTATCCAATAACTCTGTCATGGTTTATGTAAACGCGTGGTCTCGTATTTTAGTGTTAAACCAATATTAAAAATTGTATTACGTTTTTGAAGCCGCTCAACTAAATTAGTTTTGTACTGAAAATGGAGACAATGCACTATGCAGTACTTATCGGCTCAGATAGGTACAGGTAAAATGGAAGGAAAATAGGGCAAGGGTGATATACCATGGCCATGCCCCATGACTTATGTTGCTTTAAAATTTTTTTTTTTAATAATGTAAATAAAAATCAGCATCAGCGAGGCGGAAAAATTATTTCATCGTCAGTTGTGCCGTGTGTATAATATTAATTTGGCTGAATTGCAGGATTATCCTTATTCGTATCCGTATTAAAACATTTAGTTGTTCATATAATGGTGTCTACATTTAATTGTATTATAATATAAAAACAATAATGTTCACTAAATATACATCATAGGTACTATCTGAGTAGTTTACTTGAATAATTCGTATATAATTCCCCGTTCCAGTTGGTATATTCATAGGCAAGATTAATATTTTTTGGGCCTAACTGGTCTTATTTATAGAGACCATCATTGAGTGCAATTGAGTGCCTACTTCGTCATCTGAGTAAATATTGCAAACCACAGGTAGCAACTGTTTCGTTGGTCGATCTTCACAAACCTACATGGCTATACAGTATACATATTAGATTATAATTAGCATCCTCACCATTTATTTTGTACAACACGGTATTATGCATTTTTAAAACACTGAATCCATGCTGCTGTACACGAAAAAACCATTTATTTTCCTATTTGCTTAGTAAATTTATTGGCCTTTTCTACTTGGTCAGCCTGTTATACTAGCAATAACTTTAACGTTATTGTGTTGGAAATCAATTGAATGAAACACCTTCAACATTGGAGTGTTCAGATGACCTAGTTCATTTTTGCGTTACCTCTAGATTTAAAAATGCTTCTTTTTCTTTTTTTTTTAACGAGAATGTTGCTGTTTTTAATTCTAAGTCAACCAATAGAAATAACGGCTTCTAACCCACCATTACCTGAAATACATTAGCTTTACATTTAGCTTAACAAATGCATTGTTTTAAGGAGATGACAGTACACAATTGTTTTGTATTTCTGACTCACGAACGACATAGGTGTGAGCATTATGTAACTACTAACTATGTAAGGCATTCACGTAAAATCGGTTTTTGAGTAATTTAAGAGCAAAATCACCTATTACAAAAATTATAGTGAATAATATTTTGAAGGGTTCGACTTATCGTTTTGTGTTTTTTATTATTTGACTTAATATATTAATATATCAAATCTTCAAAAATACTTATTTCTATAATTTTTGTAATGGGTGGTTTTACTCTAAGACTGGGACTAAAACAAAAATGGATTTTCAGTGAATACTGTTTTTCTATGTTGTGCGTGGATTAGAGAAAGAGAAAACAATAATGTGGCTGACATCCTCTTAAGTTGTAACCGATAACAAATTAATGATGGACCTTGAACCCCATTTGTACGCAGCAATATTTTATTCTAACTAATTTTGTAATAACTAATAAGAGATTATAATGAAAACCATAAGTTTTCTGCCAGACTTAACATTTTAACTGTTACAATCTAAATTTTGTTAAAACTAACTTTTTATTATGTGTAAAATATTATAACCTATTGGCTATTTTTACTGTATATGTAGAAATTAGAATTAATAAGTATTTCACAAACATTTTGACAAAAAGCATTTAATGTTTTATTTTAATAGACTATTCATAACTATTCATAACTATTTTGAAATTACTGGAAATTAATTTTCTCATACAACATGAGTTTCATCAAAGGAAGTTTCATTGAAATATATACATTTTTTTAAAATTAATGTCGTAGGTACCAAGAATTAAGGACTACAAATTATATTTAATAATTAGGATGATAATTGTAATCATACGATGTAGTATAATATTTTTTAAATTATATGTTATACGTTTAAGGGGGATGCCTGTGTAATGTGTTATAATAACTCTCATTCTGAAGTAGGTAGGGTACCTACCACGCGATAGTGGTTTTTTAATTCACATATTATAATATTATGCTTGTAGGTTTTTTCAGTTTATAAGACGACGCTGCATGAGGTGCTGCGCTTATATATTAAGTTTGAATGTTTACGATGTTGTGTACAAAACTAATCTAAATATATGCCTATAAAGTTATACGATAATAATACTATAATATATGTGATATTGTGATGATATAGTGGTTTTTAATAAAAGCGTTTAATGTCAAAATTTTTCGAAGTTGTTAGAATATCTCACATTAATTATAATTACGTAATATTGATCCGATAACTGGAAGTTAAGTCATTGGACGTTCTGATTGATAATTTTATAAATAATATATACATATATTATATAGGTATCGTCGAATGTTTGTTATTTATGTATTGTCACATGACATGTAATGATATACTAGTGATTATGGTCTTATAATTATTTATTGTTCGGTTAAACGGTTGGTTCGTTACGTTACTATAATATCAACAGATTGCAAAGAACAGTGATGATGATACACTTCTGTAGTATTATAATATTATAATAGTATAATAATATAGTCGTGATTACAGATGAATGGATCGACGACTTTTCGTTATAGATTTAATGCATCTCCACGTGATTATTATGACCACTATATACCTACAGTAATTTAGGTTGTGTAAAAATATGTCTTTTGAAAACAAGTAGGTAAATTATTTTTGTTTTTTACAATAGTACCGACCGAATGCCATGTACTGTATATTTATTAATTAAAAATTAAAATATGATTTAAATTTAGAAACTTATTTCTGTCACTTCCTACACATCATGATAAAATTAAATATATATTAATAAATGTATTGTCATGTTAGTATAATGTACATAAAAACCTCTTTTGTTAGATTGCTTAACAGTAAATACGGTCGGTATTTGAAAAATGTATTGTAATAATTCCTTGGAAATCAAATATTTGCTTATAATAATTATGTGTGTATTGGGAGGCCAGGACTACCCAAATCATGATTTTGCAATTGGAAAATGATAATAAAGACAGGAATGAATTCCACGAAGACGGTGAAAAGTGCGAAAAAGGTATGTACAATTTTTTCAAGTATAATTATATATATCTAAATATCTTCGCATTATAGCATAATACCTAATGGCTAGTATTAAATTGATAATATTATAAATTCTTTTTATAAATTGAATATTTCATAAGTAAAGTGTAGTTCAGCATTTTCTATATTTTATCAGATTCATCTTGTCTATTATTGTTTCCAACGTATGTCCTTGTATCTATAACCAATGGTCCAAACTACATAATTTTTCGAAATCTAGCAGTTTAATTTATACCTGGAATTCTCTCTGCTTTATAGAAGGTTTTAAATATAGGTTCCTCGTCATTAATGAGATAACTACACTGGATCTACTACATTTTTTAATTACTCGCTTATAGATTTGAATTTAATAACCTATCCGAACGAAAAAACTACTCTGGGTGAAGGATAAGGGGGCATCTATTTCTAAAGATGGTAGTTTCTCTTATGTATTTATATCATACTAGTATTTTCTGTAGGCTGATCTCAGTTGACATTTCATTTTTGGCAAAAGATCACATTTTACTTTTTTATAAGTTAATATACTTGAGTACCCATCACGGAATATCGTGAATAGATTTGTATTAAATTAGCCGTATTATTTTGATAATTTAACCTTGTATAGAAAATTATAATATAAGTAATGGTGGACTAAATGTATTTTATATTGTCATGATGTACGAATACTTAAAAATAAAATATTTAAAAAAAAAAATAACAACAGACCAGACTATGAACAAAAAATCCATACACAAACAACGAAATCCAAATTGTTGGTTACCTATATTCATATTCATTTTATACACGAATCGATATAATATAGTTCTAAGCAGTAAGCATACAAAACAACAAACAAATCACAAATGGTGGTTAACAACCACATCAAACTACATTAATTTGTCAGCCCAACTCTGAATAAATATGTAAGAAAATGTATCAAATTTTGTTTTTAAATATTAATATGGTGTTACAGTTTCCCATCCATTTCTCTTACAATAGGTATCCACTGCATATTTTCCTCGCCTAAATATAACTACTATTTAATTTGTAAAATATTATACACAATTTATTTATTAGGTTCTCACCTATAGAAAATAATCTTCTTATAACATTTCATCAATATTCGTAAAATGTGTTGGTATACAGTTTCAACAAAATTAAAATTGTAGATAATCATCAATAGATTAATTAAATATGGTAAAGTAAAATAAAAACCTGTTTATCGATCAAACCCATATATTATTGTACATATATCTATTATATTTTTATTATGTTTGATTTTGATTACATACACTAATATAGGTCACTAATGGCAATGACACTGGTATTTTCTGTTCTATTCAATACTTTTTGAGTGTCTTAACCATACAATATTATTTTAAGAGAGGTTAACTTTGTTAACTATCATACTTCAACCTAAACAAAATTGTGTTACAAACATTTAATATATATATTATAAGCTAAATATAATATGATGTATTAGGTATTTATGTACCTACCTACCTACTAATAGATGGTCGTGGCTGGAAAAGTTAGATAATATTAAAAATTAAAAATAAATATTCAAATTTAGATATGCAATACCTATGTATGTAAATTAAAAATACTTATAACATTTACATTTATTAACATGAATTTACGCAATGCTTAAGCATATTGTTTTAGGTACATATTTTGCATGATATTTAATTCAATAGTGAACCAATACACTAGTTATCAATAAAAAAATTTAATTTTTAAATGGTAGAAAATTAATATTAGTTTGTTTTGGTTTACAAAATCATTTACATAAAATTAATTAAAAACTTTTTATTTCGTGTAAAAATTCTCAGTTCATGAGATTTATTATAAAAATATCCTCGCTTTGATAAATATATAAAATTGCCTTCTATATAGTACCTACTGTCAGCGTGTATTATAATTAATAGGTAAAAACAGTTATATACATTAGAACATCACAAAAGCTGATCAGAAAGTGCTAATTTCTTTATATATATTATATTTATTGTGTATAGGGTAACCGTTTCATGAATGAGTACATTTTTTGAAAATGGATGTACCTAAACAAATTATAATTCATTATCATGTTTATTCATAAGCCATGTTAGTTTGTACATTATGTAAGTATATTATTTAAATAACTCTAAACAAAATAAAGCGTTTCAAATGTTCAATGTTCATACTGTATGAATATGACTTGTTAATCATGCGTACTTAAATAAACATATCGTTAATTTATAATTTTGAATTATCTGCTAAAAATAATAGCTAAAGAATTGCTAAAAATCTAATGCTATAAGAATAATTCAATATGAATATATGATATGGATATTCGATACTTTAAGAATTAACTATTAGTTATTTGGGAAGCAGGTAGGTACATGCATTCATTTATAGTTTAATCAAATCGCTTTAATATACAATTTAATGAGTAAAAAACATTTAATATATACTTAACTGGATTTCAATTGCATATATTATTCTTAAGTAGGTATATAACAAGACATATAGAAATGACAGGTTACTAAAACCATTACCGAACAATGTTTCATGATTATGTACGTGACCCTGCAATTACCTAATTATACGTACAACCAAAACAAAAACTTGACTAAGATTCGTACAAGATAATTGATTTACTATGACGTGTGCCTAATGTTAACTAGAAATTATTATGTTTGCAAATTAGTTTAATTTTGCATATAATATATAGCACATCGTCTAGACTCTTCCAGAACAATACTCGTCTTAGTAAAACCAAGTAGAAACCATTTCGGGTTCATAATAAATAAGCAATATAAATTTACAATAATATTATTTAAATAAATATTTAAGCTGTTTAAATGGTTGTAGGGACAAATGATGATATCAATAAAATTGAGGCTACACCGGCGGATTTCGAAACAGCCATTAGCCATACAGGTAAGATCTGTATTATAATATTATATTTTAAGTTCAACAATTTACATGATATAACATCAGTGAATATTACTGAAAATATTAAGGTTTTTAATTTTTAGAAACAATTTTTAATTTACATTTATTCAACTATTTCTCCTAGTCGTTTGTAGAAAATAATATAATTTAATTTTTAATTTTTGTATGGTACCATAGTTAATATTATTACTTATTAATAATCTAATATAATTAATTTCTTGGAATTTTGTTAGTACATACATTTAAAAGCGAACAAACGGTTAATTAATTATAATTGTTCAACATTTAAACAAGAATATTAGCAAAGGGCAAAGTGTTAATATGAACCAAGATAAGGAAAGTTATGAGTTATTATTCTTTATGCGTCTACTAAGGAGAATAGTCGAATTACATTTTTGAATATATAAGAGCTCAAAATTCATAACGAAATAAGAAAAATCATTTAAAAATCAACAAACTATTCATTTGTGCTGCCACAATACCTAATCTATCCTTATCTTATGTTGATATAAAAGGTCAAACTTCTAAACGTTGTCTTTCAATATTATATTGAAATTTCCAAAAATCAGAATTTGAATAAAGCTTAAGAGGACGTGATACCCGCATGTGTTGTCGCCGTCTTACAAATACTTAACATACCACATTTTACGCTGAGACCACGCTTAAACTATAAGCTTAAAAATTAGAGTGAATTGACCTCTTATAAAATTTAAAGGTAAGATTATTGTCTAGGGCCTTTAAGCAGCCTCTTGTTGATATTATTATTTTTAAGTAAGTCATGATCATTTTTAAATGTACAGTTTCAAAAAAGGACCTTTTTAAAAAGTCATAATTAAAATTATAATATTTAAAAAAAAGCTTACGCGGGGCTTTACATAATAATCTTACCTTTAAATTTTATAAGAGGTTCATTCACCGTAATTTTTAAATGCTAAAAGTGATCTTCATAGAATAAAATGTACAAGATATATTTTGTAAGACGGATACAACACATGCGGGTATCATGTCCTCTAAGCAAAAATGGTTAAAATAATCACTTTGCACTTATTACTTATTAGCTGAAATTAAATTGTTTAATTCGCCAAAATCCCAGTTCCCTGATTTACGCATAGCCCTTTTCTGCTGAAAACAAAAAAATACGATTCCTGTTTTTTCAAAAATATATTTTGCCATTCTGGTGAAAATATGTTTCTACCAAATATTATTTGGGAAACATGCATAAACGACCATGTGTGTATACTAAAGTAAGACATTTTTTTTGATGGAAATGGGATTCGTACGTTTTTTGATTTTGGTGGAATTGTGTTGTGGTGGAAACTATCAATACATAACATATTATAACACTCGTTTAATATGTGTAAGTACCTATTTAGGTAACTAATTAATTTTATCGGTTTTTTTCTACACGTGCATTTTAGGTTATGGTATTTACAATAAAAGAATGCTCGTGTTGTACATACCTTTGACACTGACTTCGTTGTTCTGTACCACTTCACCGTCGTTTATATTGCCGGCGGTAAGATGTTACTTCGATTTGACGCCTCTGGAAGAGGGCTCGCTGTTCGGAGCTGTTTACGTAGGCAAGTTCTCAAATCAGCACCGCAAGACTTGTACAGTCTTGATGTGGTACATTGTCGCGGAGATCGGTCGTTACTGATATATCATATATAGTTATATGTCGGGCTATGTACAGTGTACCTATACTGTATATATTATTTTAAACATGTATTTTTGACATTGTAGCGTATTTTTTTTCGCAGGTATGGTTTCGAGTGCTTTTGTATGGGGTTTTCTCATTGATACGCTGGGAAGACAAAAATTATTATTCTATGGCATACTGTTGAGTGGAATTATGGAGTTTCTTTCGGGTCTCGTTCAAAGATTTTGGGTGTTAGTTGTTCTCAAGTTCTTCTGTGGAGTCGCGTGAGTATACATATTAACTTACTTCGTCAGGTGAAGTATAGCACACCACACATTATACCTGAAATGATGGGCAACTTAAAATGCATATGCCACTTTTTGACACTTTAAAGGCACACGCTTGAATTGTCCTTTGAATAACTTTTTTCGTAGCTTAGGCCAGCTAAAATGAGTAGGCATGTGAGATGCAGTTGTCACTTGCCCATCTCCGAACTAAATTATAATATTAAGTTCATTGTCGTAGCCAGAGAGGTTGGGGGGCTTCAGCCCACACTAAAATTTCAGGAAAATGACCGTTTTTACCTGTGAAATAATACACTAATATCTAACCATGTATTAAGATTGCAAGTTGTATGAAAGTTTCTGCAAAAGTCTAACAAGTTATATATCCATGGCTTCAACATCCACCCGTATGATAGATCTTAGTTAAACCTTCTGTATGCAACAAATTGTCAGTCTTTGTCTAGTATAATCCTGGCTACGCCACTAATTAAAAGCATCAAATTATTTTTCAGAACATGTGGTCCATACTCTCTCGCGTTTACTTTTTTGTCTGAATTCTATGATAAAGATCATCGAGATAAAATCGTATTGTACGCAGGAGGATTTTCGTCGTTCGCTTTTGTTTTGCAACCTCGTACGTGTTTTTTGTTTATTAAATTGTTTTTTTCTTGCAAAAATATTTATTAACTAATAAGCAATTTATTACTGCTTGTTTAGTTGTGGCGTATTTTTTAATTCCAATGGATATAAATTTTCAATTCTTTAATGGAAATCTAATTATTGATAATTGGAGAGTATTCTTGATGACTTGTTCAGTCATGGTTTTCCTAGCAGCATTCTTAGTTTATTCTATGGACGAAAGTCCAAAGTTCCTAATGGCCGTCGGTCGCCATAAAGAAGCTCTACAAGTGTTTCGAAAAATATATTCACAAAATACAGGCAATCCACCAGAATCGTATCCCGTAAGTATTCTACATACCGTATTTTACACAAATGTAAAAATATTAATATGATATTATTTAGATTAGCATTTTAAGATCAGAAATATCAGAAGAACAGTCATTAAAGTCTATGCCATCAATGACTGTTTCAAAGTTTATAAAAAAAGGATGGGTTCAAATAAAACCTTTCTTTTTGAAACCATATTTAAGACCGTCGTCATTGACATTCATGTTGTTATTCATGACAATGTTAACGTGAGTTTAAATTGTTCAGACAATAGAAAATAGGATACTAATCCTTATTATTATTATTAAATATCAACATTATTTTATTATTATACCATTACAGTTTATGTATTATATATTTATATTTATTTACGATACGCTTTTAAAATCCGTGTATCTAGCACTCAATTTGAACCCGAGTTTCCAAAATTGTAATAGGTGCAATTTTAAGTTTTGGTAGTTAGACGAACTTATTTTTGTGTATTAACATATCGCTTACTAACGCCTCGATTCAATACAATACGTAGATTGAACACCTTTCGATTAAGACTGCCAAATATGTACGCAACAATTATTGCAGCTAAAGGCGACCAGTCAGTATGCAAATCTAGAACTTCAACTAATGTTACTTACACAGCAGATTGTAGAGGGGTAACTTCAGTAGTTATAGTTTGTTTTATTTTTTTATCATTAAATACAAAAAATAACTGAACATTTTAGACTCTCGCTCTAGTTGATCCAGAAATCTACATCAAATCCATGATTGTCGGATCAGCAGTTTTCGGTATGTTTTGGGTCGCCATATACATTACAAAATACATGGATAAAAATCATATATATAGTAAGTGATATACAGTATAATATATAAATACCAAATATTATATTATACAGAATTCAATTTATTTTAAATATTGCATTAGACCATTACAAACGATTTTTATATAATTCGGTGCACACTATTATAATTACTAAATCATAAATGGTCAAGGAGTTATTTTTAACAATAGTAATTATAATTTATCACTTTATAATGAGATGTAAATGTTTCTGTCTTACAATGTATGTTTAATTATGCATGAAATAAAAAAGTATCGCTCAACTAACATAGTAACATATTAATTGATTTTCAGTATTTTTTTCAATATTGGGTGGAGTTGGTATTTCAATATTTCCATGGACAAATGGTATCGTCACCTTAATCTTTTCGGCTATGTATGTAGGCATAATGAACATCAATACTACGCTAGTAATTAGTATTATGGCTTCGGCTGTTCCTACCACACTAAGGTAAACGTTGAATTAAATAATTAATGTGTAAAAAACAACTAAAAGTAAATTGTGTACAATTTAGTCGGTATATATATTTAGAACACTTATAAAATGATATTTTACGATTACAATTTTTTCGCACGTAATGTTATTGATTCTTTATACACGCATGGACATCAATATTGTACACACAATAATCATATATCCAGTATTTAAATGTTATCAAACCTAATAAAGAAACTTTCATTTATTACAAGAAGATTTTGCTGTAATTACAGACTACTATTTCTTCGTAAAAATGTTATTTCATATATTTTGTCATTTTAATATTTTAGTGACTATATACAATGAATTGTATTTAACTCATGTACCCAAATTGTCCATAAAACATTCTTTAATAAAATAAAAACAATATACTGAAAATATACGTGAATAAATTATTATGGTCACAAAATAATATTTTGAAATATTTTAAAGTACGAAGCTTTTCTAGCTCTGGAATCACTCTTAACTTTAACAAATATGATAACATTATACCTATTTAGGTATCTAAATCATAAATCATGTTACCTATACGTATTTGGTAAATAGTCAACAATAAATAATAATATTATGTTCCGATATATCTTGGTGAAAACTCCATTACAATTACATTAATACTTAAATGGTATTACTGTAATACTTTTATAAAATAAAACATTTAACAACCATAAATTAAAATTTGTTTTTCAGAGGTATGGCGGTAAACATGGTCATAATGTTCGGTAGAATTGGAGTTGTTTTCGGAAATTTAATCATACCCGTATTGGATAGGATCGGTTGCGAGTTGCCCTATATGACATTGGCTATGTTTAATTTTTGTAAGAAAACTAATAATATATTTTATTTTATTTAGTATGGCCAATATTATACCAAATATATGAATAATATTTTTTTCAATTTTTCAGCGTGCTTGGGTGTCATACTAATATTAATGAGGATAAAAAAAGAAAAACCAAAGACAATTACAACCCCCTAATATATATTTCATCCTCCGTGTTTTGGAATTCAACAATATTCAGATCAACATTCTCAAACAAAAATAAGTTATTAAGAAATTAAATGACTCTGAATTTTAATTTTTTATACCTACCTATTTATGTATTATTTTAGCTTTTAATTTTCAAATTTGATTTGATTATAATTTCTTTTAAACTATAATGATTTTATGTACATAGAAACACATAATAAAGATGGGTATCAACTAGTTAAGTTAATTTTTTTTTAATTTTTTAATTTAACAAGATTATCCCTTGAAATAATTTCCCCTTGCAAAAATTACTAAATTAACTGCAGACATTTTACTAATAGTTATTTTGGCAAATTGTTTGAACACAATTTCGATAGTTTACTACTATACTTTAAGAGTTTTACTACTACAATTGAATAGTTACAAAATGAGTTGAATAATTTTACTGCAAAAAAATGTATATTGCGGCCTTACAGTGCTATTTTATAAAATGGCAGAAATTCGTTTGTAGCTACGGTGCTCCCGAATTACCTTACACTTTTATTTCTGAGTTCTAATCGCAATTTCCTTATCAGCAACAGTATATAATGTTATATACAATCTGAAATAGTAAGCTATTGTTACTTGTTAGTGGCGTAAACAGGATTACCCACAATAGATAGGCTCCTAGCTCACGAGAGCCTACTCGTGTATGGTGTATTGTCAACTCGCTATATAGGAATGTGAACGGTTAAGTTACAGGCACTCACGAATTACTTAATTTATAGTTTATTTCGAAAGCGAAATACTAATTTTCCATACAAACATAGGTTTTATTACCTCCTTTAACTATTTAAAAACAGACACACAATTTAATTGTTTTTACACCGATTTAATGTTAAGTCAAACTAACGAGATAATTACACTCGAGATGAAGTCCATACAGATCATCTAGTGTCCTGATATGACTGGCAAGTGTGGAATGACAACTATGGTCACTAAACATTTGAATTTAGCTCTAAATGTTTTGTGTATAGGTACCTATACGTACACAAAAATACCAGACACGTACCTCCAGATTTCCGATTCACCACTTCCAGATGTAAATCTCAAAAACGAAGTAGTAGTATATGCATTTGTATGTTCATTGTTCACAGTTCGTTTTTCCACGGTAAAATTTTTTGTTCAAGCCGGAATGTCCCGCTCAGAGGACACAGATTTACCGTATCACACATTACAGTGATTACACACTCATTGTCCACCTATATTTGTGGGTCACACAAAAACATTTACCGTGTATACACACCTGCAACATTTTTTTTTCATCGAACTTTACCAAAATAATATTTCGAGTAAAGAATACAAATTATTAAATACATTTTTTTTATTCTTTTAAATTAATTCTAAATTATAATTATACCAGTTTTCTTGCTTCTCTAGTATAAGGTATATTATTAGGTATATATTTCGTATATTCTACAATACGAGGATCAATTAATAAACAAGAAGCAGTTACACCTGTAAAGGATTCTGATGCCAAAATTTCCAATTGAACGTCTACTGCTGAGGCTGTAGCTGAATCATTCTGTTTTGAAGTTCCCATCGATAACTATAATTGGTGCGTTGCATAGAAAAGCGGAGGGACTTAATGTAGGATATTATTTTCATAGCACAATTCTTATAAAGATGTACATAAGTATATTAAATAATAAGGTAAATTTTTTTTTCGCAAAATCTAAATTTAAATTTTCATACGGATAAGGTATCGAGTATAAAAATACTTTATCGTTTGTTAGATTACAATGGTTCAATGTACTACAATCTTTAGATACCGAATTTTTACGTCGCTTCTGCAATCCAATTATGATAAATCGCAGTTTTGGAGTAAATATTTTTGTGTGAGCCGCAAATAGGCGGACAATGAGTGTGTAATCACCGTAATGTGTGATACGGTAAATCAGTGTCTCCTGAGTGGGACATTTCGCCTTGAACAAACAATATTACCATGGAAAAACGAACTGCAAACATACAAATACATACTACTCGAAGTTATAAAAAACTATTGCCACTTTAAACATGATTTAAACAGAAAACAAAAAATTTGAAATATCATGGAATAAAACATAATTATATAAATTAAAAGACTGTTAAAATCATAATAAATCCTTCTAGTAATATGTGGTGTATGCCACCCTATATATGGCTGTGTATGGTTAGGTTAATTATAAGGAATATTCACAATAAAATCGCTGTCTATAATTTTTCATATTCATATATTATTATTAACTATTATATTTTATATACACATTATGCATACTTGTTAGAAAAGTAAATGAAAATCTAAATTGACACAAATGACTGGTAGAATTGATTTATATGTTGTATGTATATTCAATAGTCCATGGTGTTAACTGTTAACAATGTGTTCCTTATCATTTATATTGGCGTAAATTGTACCAAATAATATTTTTAGATAGTAAATTATAATTTTTATTTTAAGTATAGAATAGTTCAACGGATAAAAACTATAAAAGTATAATAAGTATTTACTCAAAGTGTCCCCCGTATTAGGGGGTTTTATTTTAATCTGTTTTTTTTAATTACTTCTGACAGTTAAGGTTACACATTCTATGTTAAAAAGTATAAAGTTTAAGTCTTGTCCGGAATAACAATACATAATAACATAAAAAAATGTCCTCTGTATAATTATAATATAATAATAACATACCTTGCGATATAGAAGTCTTACAATGGGTACTAAAAATATTTATATTTAAATCTATGGACTATGATAATAATAATATGATCAAAGTATAAAAAAATGGATAACAATATTCAAAGGAATTATTATATATTATATGTACCTAGGTATACAAAACGATTTTACATGTTCCTATTATCTCATAATATATATATATAGTTAAAATTATAATTATAATTATTTTGTGATCCTTATATTAGGTATGCTATTATAGCTTATAAATACAAATAAGTATGATATTATTATATTTCAATAATGTTAGAATTTCCGAAAAAATATCATGGTGTCTGGCAACTTACTTGTATTTTATTTAAATACTATTTCGTCCAAATAACATTTTTTGATTAAGAGTTAATTTCCGTAAACTATATACCCATATAGCTAATGATTATATTTGTTTTATTATATACACATTACACAAAAAAATGTTTCTTTAAATGTATAATATCTGATGTTTGTTTCAGCATAAGGTTTAGTGATTTATATAAGCATATAAATACAGAATGTGGATAAACCAAGGTTAAAATAAATTACATAATACGATTTACAATAATATATTATTATACATACTATATATAGTAATAAGGAGTCAGTCGATAATTAATATTAAAATTTAAAAAATAGGTACCTATCATCTTCTAATCCTAATAATAAGCATTAATAGTAACTACAGTATAACACATATTAGGTAGTTAAGAGTTTTTAATACTTATTTACCTATAACTTGAAGGTACCATGTATTTCAATGCACTCCAGGTCGCGGCCGTGGTTCTGACGAATTTTAATTTTAAGAAGATGTCAGCACACCATTTATTTTCTCTCTCTGGCCCAATCGGCAAATGTATGTTTAGAAAAACCAACCCCGGATTGTTACTTTTAATATTAGAGAGAATTATCTAATAATTACCCACTTATCGCCAAACTTTAAGTTAAAAACATTACCTGTATCTCGAAATTGGAATTTTTACAATATTTAAATTTGTATACAGTTTATAAGCATTTTTAAATTGTAATCATTTAAATTTGATACACGTTTATAACTTACACAAAAATTAAAATATCGTAAAAAGTCAAGGCAGGGACACACTAAAATATGTTCTTAGCTTAAAGTATGATAATAAAAAGTTCACTCTTATATTAAAACTTAAAAGTAACAACACAGGTTTGGTTTTGCTGAACATACATTTGATAATATGTTGCGCGTGAGTCGGAGAGAAAAAACAAATAGTGCGCCGACATTCCCTTAAATTTATGAGCAAGCTTTTAGAGTCAAAATAATGAAACAAATTGTATTTCATACAACAGAAAGATAACATATTTATTAAAACATCAATTTTCAAAGATGACATTACTTGTGGCAACCTTTATTTTCTATGAAGTCAGCTATCTGTTAACGAATACTGGCCATGTATGGTTATAATGGATTTAGATTCAATATAAAGCGTGACGCACTAGCCACGTGTCCACGATTACTTCTAATACACAAATATACATCACTCACTTTAATCTAGCGACAACCCGGTGTATTTTATCAACTTCACAGTTACAGTAACACTCTTTAATTCGTCAGAACTCGGTGTCGAACCACTTATGTATATAATATAACATTTAAATGATTAAAACTACCATAATAGGTATGTGCTTAAGCAGATTCGTGTGTAAAAAAATGACCATGATCCAATGAATACAAAAACACGGGCTTCTTAAATTTATTGTAAACAAATATTTCGGAGATAAACATACATTACATACCTAATGTTAACGATATTGAATAATGATTAATTGCAATTCGACGAAATTCCGGGAAAATATGTGATACAATAGATAGGTATCTACCAGCTAACCATTTATAGTTGTGATGATTGTTTCAACGCACAGCAATATTAAATACATCTATGGGTTTTTGTATAGTTTTTAACAACTCTTTGACACTTAATTTTTACAAAAATAAATATATTTTCTATTTTGGGAACTTCGTAGATTAATGATTTGTCAGTAACATTTAGAAATACTATTGTATTACTATCATAATACATAATTCTTAAATAATCATTTTTATACAAGTATATTGTTCAGTTAATACACCCAATGTTATTTTTAGGATATTATTGATTTGTTAATTTTAAATCATTAATAAAAAATAAAATAATATAACTACGCTTATTTATACTTTATGATACAATGTTTTCATTTATCTTCTTAGCGAGGAGATTAGAATTAATTTACCATTTTCTAATTGCGGCTGACAGTTAGACAGCTGCTGATATGCCAGTTTCATTCGCTCGAGATTGATTTTAGAAGCATTTACATGATTGACGATTGGCAATGGGTAATCAATGCCAATTATGCAATTGGCAGTAAACTGAATGGACTCGGGCGCTAACCACGGCTCGTGGATGTATTGATTAGGCATATTATTCAACACTGGAATGTATCTCCTGTAAACAACAATTGCATTAAGAAAGGGACATGCTCTTGTCTTTTCAACATAGAGCAATATGC